TGATGCATTAATATTTCTGATATCTCTGATGTAGAAATCTATTTCACCATTTGCTTGAGACTGAAAGAAGCAGTTTTAAATAGTCTATCAAATGTAACCGAGGACTTAAATATGAAATCAGTTTTGTTAATTTTTTTAGAGAGCAATAAAGACTGCTTTGAAGCTTTCCCTTTATATAAGTGGAAAACACCTTTGACTGTCAGTTGTGTTAATGGAGAGAAAATTTCTAATTGTTCTCAACCCTGCCAAAATGTTTTTTGTTTTTGAGATTTTCTTTAAAGATACAAGAACCATCACGTTTCTAGCACATACGTAATTAATTTTTAAGAGCAAGTTTAATTAACTGGTTTTATTGAAGTCCAAATTTCACTGAACAGATCTGTGTAGTATTTATAGTCAAATTTCAATCTCCCAGATAATTAACAATTAGGGTCACTGTTAATTACAATGACTTGAAACCTAAAACTTATTTTAGAAAGCATGTCCTGAACATAATGGTAGTTACTGCACAATCACTGTTGAATAAAGCCCAAAGATGCCAGATATTTCTTTCATGGCATGCCACAGACCTCCAAAACAGTGTCTCATAGGAAGGTGATTTCACTGTCCAAAGATGCTCACAGTCTTAAGGAGGAAAGGCAAACAAAACCAGAGGGGATTTTAAAGTCTGTCAGCCAGAATGAGCAATTGAAAATTTGGAGTTTTTGCTACTTCCCTATTTGTTAAAAAAATAACAACTAGGAAATGGGTCATCCTGGAAGAAGTTATGAAAGAGGAGCATATGAGAAGAAAGAGACAGGAATGTTTAAGACAAAATTCTGGATAATGCTACAGTGCAGTGCTGCAGAACAGCATTGCAGGCCAGGTATGATAAAACCAGCACTAAGCATGAGTGTAGCCAGAGCTATACAGCACAGGCAAGGTAAAACCTCAATTCTGACTATCAAAGACAGACCTTAATCAAATTGTGTTACCCAGGAAGGAGAAAAAAAAAAAAGAAAAAAGAAAAAAAAAGGAAAGCAAAGGAAGAAGAAAAGAAGTTCAGCAACCTTAAATATTACATACCTTTAGGGACAGACTTCTTATAGTACTAAACACCCATAAGACTTTGTGAATCTAAACTACAAATGTAAAACTCAAAGGAGATTACTTTCTCCAAAGACAAACATCTAGCAAACTTTTCAAACTACTGACATTGTTATGAGCACAGCTACAGCTATACTGAGGCAGACACAAAAATTATCCTGATGTGGTAAAATGAGTCACAATCCTGATGAAATATTTCAGCAAACAGGCTACTATGACAGACAGTAAGAAAACCTAAGTTCCATGCCTTTCCCTCAAATTTGAAACAATCTTTGTGAGAGGAAGGCACACAACAGAGATTTTTCTTTAATTAATTCTGTTAAATTTGATGAAATGTCTCTAATGAAGTGCTTTATACATAACACATAAAAATAAGTGGATCCATGTATTGTACCTGCTTTGTGGTTCTTATTTGCTAATTACTATTTGACAAAATGCATTATGTTTTTCTAGTAATTCTAACTATGCTCTTGACCAAACTATCTCTTGCACAGACCTGCACAGAATCAACAGGAAAGCAGTAGGTGTTGTTAACCTTGAATTTGGCAAGACTTTCAACACTGTCCCCCACGACATTCCCACAGGCAAACAGCTCAAGTGCGCACTGTGTAAAATAGACAGTGCAGCAAACTGCAAGTTGGCTGAGCTGGAGAGTATAGAGGTTTGGAACCACCCACATGAAATCTAGCTGGAGACTTTAGACCAGTGGTACACGCCACAGGTTGATACTGGTGTCCACACTTGAACTTTTCCATTAATGACCTGGATGATAGGACTGAGTGCACCCTCAATGAATTTGCAGATGATAAAAATCTGGGAGGAGGAGCTGATACAGCAGAGGAACATGCTGCCATTCAGAGGTGCCCTGACAAGGCACACAAACAGGCCAACAAGAACCTGTTGAAATTCAGCCAGGGGAAAGGCCAAGTCCTGAACTAGGGGAGAAATAATCCCATGTACCAAAGCAGACTGAAATACACAAAATATAATTTAAAGATAATTAAAAATCCTTTCCTGTGAGAACAATCAAATATTGTAACAGATTGTCCAGAGATGTTCTGGAGTCTCCACCCTCAGAGATTCAAAACCCAAATGGATACAGTCCTGAGTTCTAGGCGAATCTGCTTTAAGGGTTGGGTTCCATGGTCAATAATATCATGATCTTGTCTTTACTCCTCTCACATAAAGAATATTCTGTCATTGAGAAAGATACTGAAGCTCTCTATCAGATGATTAAACAATTAATTACTTAATTTAGAGCAAAATGGTTGGAAACAAAGGCAGTCCTGCCTCGGCATCCATGAGCTAACTGATCTTGAGGGAAGTGGGGAAATAGCAGAATAAGACTGGGGCTTCGTTAAAGCCTATAAATCTGTGAAATTATGCACTTGAAGAAAAGCCAAAACACATGATATGTCAGGGTATACAGAACCTATTTATCAAAATGAACACACATATTTAAAATCATAGCAGTGAAACTTACTTTCATTTGAAGTATAATATTAGAAAGCCACAAACAGCTAATTCTGCAAATGTACCTGGATAGGACAAGATTTAAACATCAGGAAAGATCTGCTGTGTTACTGCTACTGCCCATACAGCACATAGATGGAAACACTGTTTTTCCACTGTTTCCTACCTCAGGCAAGACTGAGACAATTAAACCCTATTTTAAAAAGAAAGGGCTGCATATATTCAGGGTGCTACACTGCTCATACTACAACGTATCAGCTACCACCTTACCAAACTATTAGAGCATGCACATACACCTGTTACATGGTTAAATATACTGCTAACAGAGATTTACACATGTAAATGGAGATTCTGCATTTTGCTTTAAGAAGCAGTAAATGCACAGTAAAAGGTGACAGAATGAAGTATCAACATAACCTTCAGGAATATGTAACCATCTGCTGGATCTCTAGTACAGGCCATTGTTAACAATGCAACGTCCCCATTAACATAAGTACAAAATGAAAATATATTTTGTAGTTTACACATGTAAATGGGGATTCTGCATTTTGCTTTAAGAAGCACTAAATGCACAGTAAAAGGTGACAGAACTGAAGTATCAACATAACCTTCAGGAATATGTAACCATCTGCTGGATCTCTAGTACAGGCCATTGTTAACAATGCAACGTCCCCATTAACATAAGTACAAAATGAAAATATATTTTGTATATAAAGCCAACACAGAAAATAAAGGTTCTGTCCTCACAGCACAATCAATAAATCAATAGAAACATTTAAGTACAGATTTTCTATTATTCAAAAGTAAAGTTTATCTGGCAGTTAGGCACTACAAACACCAGCACTTAGTATATAACCAATGGGGAATGATGAAATAAATAAGTAAATCTTTTTCATGTTTCACTGAAAACAAGTCTACCACAATAGAACAACTTGGAGGCCCACAAAATGACAGAGAAGTAATCCACAATTTTAAAACATTTTCTTACAGAAAAATCTATTTCAATTGTGGCCCATTAGTATTTTTATGGTTCCCTTCCCTTAAAAAAATTCCTGTTCTCATGCCTTCTTCTTTACTATATTTCTTGTTTTACGACGCTTTCCTTGTATAAATACTTTCCTGTATACCTGTGGATCATTTTGGAAGTATTGGTCAGCTTTGGAAACAAAAACACAGAGTGTTCATACACAGCTGTAACATACACCTATGTTCACTCATGCTATTTGGAAGTCTCCATCAACACTTTTATCTGTGCTTCTGCATAAAGTAAAATTAAAGAAAATAAAATTCCTTGGTTTGAGCAATACTAGGAATAGCCATGTAGAACAACTTAAAATCATATGTTAATGTTCTTTAAAGGGTTAGTCCACTTACTTTAAGTATTCACAATATGTAAGCATATGCATTCTACTGCCTCTGTAAGATTTACACACTGTGGAAATAACGTGCATCCGCTGAGCAACAGATGAATACTATTATGGCTCCAAGCTCTTTTGTTTAGGTAGAAAATAAAAAGACTGAAGTTAATTGGTGTATGGCCATTTGCATTGTGAATTAGTGACTAAGAGTGATTCTGAGACCAGTGGTCTGTCTTTTAGACCATGCTAAGGACCATTTCCCCAGCTGCTCAGAAAAAGTAATCATAACTTCATTTGCGAAAAAAATTGCCTGCCTTTAGGAGATAATTCTGTATAATTATAGAGATTATTCCTATCTTTACTATCTACATTTTAAATCTCTATTACGTGTTTTTATTTCATTATATATTCCACCCTCCCTCTGGAATTCTTTTTACTCTTCTCAAGGATACAAAACAAAAACACTTTGAAATTGAGGTGCCAATTTTCTGTCTTATTTTACAGGTGCCCAGAAAAAAATGGCATGAAACTATAAATTTTATTATTAAATACTGTGATTATCAATGAAACAGATATTATTAGCAAAGTAAGCATCACAAATGTACGTAATTGCATTACTTTTTTCTCAGAATCTTTCAATACAAAGTATCTTTAGGGAAAAAAAATCTAAAAATAGATTAAAAAAAACTGCAAATAGACTATCAAGCACTATCAAGCACTAAGGTTCTGTAGCAGTGTATATGCTTTCAAATTCTATTATTTTTGAATGCCCATGTTTAAGATGCTTCAGTAAGCATAAAAATATTACCAAAATATTACATTAAGAAAAGCTGGCAATCTCATCCTCTTCTATGAACTTACAGCACTAATAAATAGGTGTACAGCTTAAAGAAAGAAAAATTTTACGAAGAAACAGCATTGGACTGTATCCCACTGGACTTCAAAAACAATATCACATATAACAAAACTGGGTTAGTCCTTGAAAGAGCTGCACAGCAAAATTTTAAAAGGCAGAAAATAAAAAAATCCTCATCGAAGTTATCACCCCTTCCCTACAAAGAGTGAAGAAACAAAGAAACTTACCACTTTCAGCAGTGAAAGAATACAGAGGATTCAGTGGAATACCCAGAGCACCCGGCAGTCTTAGCCTGGAGTGTGGTGACAGAGATGATGGTGCAGGAAGCAAGAGATTTGAGTTTGCCTGTAATAGGAAGACAAACCAGAAAGTGAAGTGTAATTTCCTGGGTCACTTACTGACATAATAGCTAGAAGAGAAATATTTGTTTACTGTAAATAACTATTAAATTCCAGGGAAAAAATTAAAACTCAAGTTGATGACGACTAACAACTTCAATATTTTTTTTTTCTTAGTATTTGGAGATACAGACTAGGAAAAATTACTGGCACAGCAATAAATGGAATTGTGTGCTTATATATGGACACTAACTGTCAAGCAGTGCAAACAATGAAACAAAACTGTCTGAACCAGCATTTTGTTGCATCTTTGTGTATAAGAATAGGAAGACATGCATATGCTCATAAACTTATAAATATATTGAAATAATTTCTCTTTTTTTTTTGAGTACTCAAACTACACTACATCCATGAAGAGATACTTAGCACTACAGGAAAATAAAAAATTTAAACCAATCCTAGCACAGAACTGATTTCTGTAAAAAAATAAACACTAAAATCCCAGGCACTTCCTACTTGTAAATTACACATAATATAGCTCCAGTTCTAATCTCCATAGCAACAAAGATAATGTAGTTAAAATCTGTTTTCCTATAGACTTTCTTGATATATATATAGTGTTATTAAAAAGCAAAAGCCCTTCCCAAATTTTATTCTTGCCATATTATCCAATACAGTCAATGAAAAAAAATTTAATGATCTTAAGTTTCTGGTTGATCCAATTGAGAATTTTATTGGTTGTTAAGTATTTTTTCACTGCCTTAATACACCAAAGCCAAAGCAGAAGAAAAACAGGACTTAAATAAAATATTTGCAACTTTCCTCAAGCAAGATATTAGTATGCTAAAATTCTTGAGAGTTATTCACATAAGATAACATAATTCTTGACCCTTTCAAAAGTCAAGCCTATTTCATCATATAGAATAAAAGCATATGGTCACTCAATCCAACTAAAATCTCCCAATCAGCAGAGCACTACCTTTGGCCCCAGTAAACTCTAGATGAGAACTTTAAACTTCAGTGATGGGCCAGTGATATTTTGCAAATTTTCAAACTACTGGCTGGTAAATTCTGTTTAAAGAAAGTTCAACCAAAGTGAATCGGTGATTGTCTCCTATCTCAAAAGTGAAATATTTTATAGAACTCTAATTTCTGCAATTCAATAAAGATTATTCAATTCAATATTTGGGTATTGGCAGGTGTACTGAAATGCAGGTAATAAAGCATAAAAATGTGTGTTGAATTACTTGACTGGGCCAGAGGGTATCTGCCACCAACTGCTCTGCACCACTACACCTGAGCTTCATCTTAATGTGTCTGGTTTTTGTGCAGGAATATGGATTTAATTCTAATGTGGAAAGTTTATAGCAAATATTATCTTTGACTAACAAGGAATCTTGCAGCAAAAGTGCACAATTGTAATGACTATACTCCAAAGCTGACAGAAAGAAAAGTAAGACAGAAAATCAGATTAATCATTGAACATAATTTTTAAAAAGCATGAAACCTACTAGATTTTACTACAGTGTACAAATTTAATGAATGCTAGTAAACAGTAGCTGGGAAATGTAATCAGAATGGAGGCCTTCTGAACAACTGCAACAATAAATCAATCTGCTTTTCTTACATTTACATATGCAAGCAAGTAAGCTTCAATAATATAAAGTTTTCTCTGATACAAAAGAATGGTGGAAAGCCATCAGCTTACATATTTACTCAAACACAGAAAAAATAATCTGTTCTGCAAATGTTTTGATCTCAGCTTCCCAGTGTTTCATTTCTTCTTTAATCTACTGTAAACTCTAGGGAGAGCCTTTTTCCCTAGATAAATGAGATCTCCCCTTTGCATGAATTTCTTGCTAAGTGCACACTACACCACAAGACAAACAGAAGCTTTCCAGTCAAATACTTTAATGGAAGTCTCTTTCAAATTTGCTATCAAAAATTAGATTTCAGATAACACCAGGAAATGAAGACAGGTTGAATATACTGGCCTTTGGAAATCAAGCTAAACAGGACAGAACAAACTATTGAAAACTAACACTTAATAGATGCTTCCCTACCTCATCCTGGAAAGAATTATGAAGGTAAGCTTGTCTTGATTCTGGTCCTGGAACAAATTATATAAGGGATTTGGAACTCTGTGTAAGTTATTCCTGTACAACACTTAATTCACTTCTCTTTATTTTCCTGCTGTATTATGCAAACACTCTCACAATACATGCCAAATAACACACTTTGAAATCAAATGCAACAAGACACACAGAAGAGAGGACTGAATGTGCAGTCTCGAGGATTTAAGAAAATCACCTGTTCTAAAATGCAGTCTAATTTCCATTAGAATACTTCCTTCCTGTTCAAGATCTTAAAAACAAGATGAAAACCTTTTTAATAAAATATATTAAAAATTAAGTTTTAAGTAGGCTTACAGGAAGTGATTCATTCCTCCCCTTGATGGTAGTGAAGATGAATTCAGGTGAGCTATAAAAGACTGCCCATCCAAAGCAGAGACAAAACCAGAGTTTTAATGACCTTTCTGCCACTAGCTCTTATGTATTATTTAAATCTCTGAGAGGCCCAAGGAGGGAAAAAAAGGCACAACGTTGTAACAGAAATGGGAAGCACTCAGCTAATGAGTGAGGAATTATGATTCCAGTACAACTGCTTCCAGGTGAAGTAAACTATTCTATGAAAAATAATTAATGCTCCTACAACAGGCAGACATAAGACTATTCACAAAACAAAATTACTTTTTTTTTTTAATGCCTGCTGTGGGAAATCGTTACTAAATACCATTACAACAATAAGCAAAGTTGGCTAAGAGAGCCAACCATGAATTTACTTATTTTTCACAAGAGACTCTGCTTTCTTCATGCACAAACCACAGCTTTATCAAGGACAGAGTTTACTACTACTGTGAATTGAGTAAAACTAAGAGTTAAAACATTCTTATCATTTCCATCACAATAAAGATACCTACATATTTTTTGCCAGTCTTAAAAAAATATGATTTGCATTTTCTTTTCTGTGTTAGGGCAGCTCTGTGCAAATTATGCAAATACACACTTTCAGTGAAACTGGTTTTCACATTAAAAGCGAATTGCATGAGACAAAAAATAGAATGGTCTAAGACTTGACAAGGAGGCAAAAGCATATCTTGAGAGATAAAGCAGCCAACATGTAATTGATTCCAAGACTAGTACTAGAGTATTTACAGATGCTGTTTGTAAGGGCTACAAAGGGGTCAGACATTGAAAAACCAAATTTCAGATCTAGAATACTACATCTTCAAAGAAAGCTCTTCTCTCCCTCCCTACACAACATATATCATGCCCTTGTTAGGGATAGTTTTAAACTGGTTTTTTACTGCTAGATGGAAGGGAAATTAAAAAAAAAAAACAAAAACATAAATAGTAATTGAATGAAAAACTCTTGAGAGCACTTCCAAGAGCCAGAGATGAATTAAATGTTTTCCTATCAGAAACCTCCATTAACAGAACCACACATTAGTATTAGTTTCTTGAGGTAGAGATAAATAATAACTGCTTCCAAGATTCACTACTCTGTAATTTCTCTATGTGGTACAGAAGCTAACTCTGCATTCTGGTTTCATACAAAAATTAATTTTTACCTTTTGTATCAAAAGGTCTTAGCTTTTGTGAATTGCTAAAGCTTTAGCACAATAGTCAACTCCTGGGTCTAATTTCTGGGTTAAGAATGGCACTGCTGCAGAAGAGAAGAAGCTTAATCTATCTATAATTTGTTAAGGTTCATGTTCAGGCAAAAAGAAGAAAAATAAACAAAAAAAATTATTGGTTCTAACAGGAACTGGAAAGGGGGCATGGGTCATAAGACAAAGAACCCAAGCTTATACAGGATCAAAGTATTTTCTACCTAGCCTAACCTAAACTTTAATATATTGACATCACATTTTCCAATCCTGTATCTAAGTCACAGAACTCTAAACTCTACACTTTAAAGTTAGTTTTAAGTCCAGTAGCCATGCTGTTAAGTTGACACATGTTAAAACCAGAGCCTCCCACCTTGGCAGATTTGCTGCTTGTGTGTTTCAGCACCTTTGTCTCATAAAACATGACTCCAGGTGTGACCGTAGGCCAGGTCTACAAGGTATGCTGCCACCATGCCTGTCCCAACATGGCATTTCCTATGTGTCTGTGACAAGGGCATGCAAACATGACCCAAAGACCAGGATTACTCTTCACTGGGGCTGCCTCACCTTGAGTGCCTTGTGCAGTTTCGGGTGCCACAACATAAGAAAGACATTAAATTATTAGAGAGTGTCCAAAGAACAGAAACAGAGATGGTGAAGGGCTGGGAGGAGAAGCTGCGTCAGGAGTGGCTGAGGGCACTTGGTCTATTCAGCCTGAGAAGGGGAGACTGAGGGGAGACCTCAGTGCAGTTACAGCTTCCTCATGAGCGGAAGAGAAGGGGCAGACACTGCACTCTGTGGTGACCAGTGACAGGGCCCAAGGGAATGGCCTGAAGTTGTGTCAGGGGAAGTTTAGGTTGAATTATCAGGAAAATTTTTTCACTCAGAGAGTGGTTGGGCACTGGAAAAGGCTCCCCAAGGAAGTGGTCACAGCACCAGCCTGACAGAGTTCAAGAAGTGTTTGAACACCTCGGGCACATGGTGTGACTCGGGGCTGGTGCTGTGCAGTGCCAGGAGCGGGACTTGATCTCTGGGGGCTCCTTCCAATTCAACATATTCCATGGGTCTGTGAAATACATATAAGGTAACACCTGTGTTCTCATCTGGATTTTTAATGCTCCAACTCGACCACAGGGCAGCAAGCCACCCTACATGTGGTTTCCTAAAGTCGACTTTCTCCATTTCGCTTGTCTGTTCCCAGAAATATTAACACATTCTCACACATGTGGCTGAGTGGCAACTTTTAAGAGTTCTACTTTGACAAACACTTTAGCAAACCATTCATCTGAGTGTGCATTCTAATAAGCCTTCCACTTACATACACGTGTCATTTTTCATATGAGAAAGGGAATTGCATACACATTAAAAACTAATTCCCAATTACAAATTAGTAGCAATTTTAATGTTGTATATTTTACTCTTGGGCTGTCCAAAATGTGATAAATCAGGCAAGCAGTACTGCAGCCACACGCAAAAAATTATCCCATGCCTGCTTGAAATGTATTTACCACTGTCCCCTGAGTCTCATGTTGGATCACTGAAAAGAGTAGCATCAAGACTCCTTTCAAAGAAATCTCCTCCCCCATATTCCAGTGGTTCATAAAGTCCTGCAAGGAAGCGCTCTCAGTGTTTATAATCACTACTGCTATGTGACAGATATCATCAAACTGGATGTGCATTCTTTCAATCACCATCCTATTCTGTTTGGAAACTCACACAGGGAGAAGACTCAGATGAACTTTTTGACATCTCCCACATCAGTAGAGGGCTTGGAGGATGCTGTCAAAAACACTGATCATTCTTCTGTTCACAGTGGACTTACTCATCCCAAACTAGTCAATGTAAATCTAGGGTTACAAAACTCCAGTAGCTGAAAGTTATTCTTTCAAACACAGTTGTAGGCTTATCTATTTGATCTAGTCACACAGTAACATGGAACTTGTAGATGCTTCTGCTAAAGCATCTACAGATTTGTCTTCCACAGTCCAGAAGCACTGGTTCATCAGGGAGTATATAGATGCAATGATAAAGGTCCTCATAAATTCTCGACCCCATCTCTTTCTTCATATGGCCAGACATCCAGAACAGTAAAAATTTATCCTGGAGTATCTTCCTGGAATACTTGTCCCAGACATAAGGCTACATGCTCCATTCTATCCATGTTGTGCCTTTCTCTGATAAACAACTTGACAACACCAGCACTCACTTTGTAGGTGAGCAAAACAGAATGAGCAGAAAGTAGAAACAAGGTTTGTTTCCTTGTGTCAGGCCACATGTAATTGGAAGGTAGAAGCAGCATACTACTGTTATCCATGAGAGCTACCATGTGGTGTTTCATGAAGGGGTTCATTGGGAGTTCACAGTTCAGAAATCTGTGGTTTGTGTGAAGGTCAGTGGCACAGCTTTCCTCCAGACAGTTTCAAAGTTCAGGCCTAATGGGGATGCCAAAGCCAAGGAACCAGACTAAATCTAATCCAAAGTAAAACCCCTAAAGCATGATGACGATGACAGTAGTTACAGCAACCCCAGCAACAACCACTTTCATCTACTCATCTGTTTCTTTTGTGATTCACTACTTATTAATGCAGACAAAACCTAAAATTACATTAAAAAAAACTACATGCACTCAAAAGTACTTCAAAATGAAAAACAGCAAATGCAAACTAAAATGTGGTTAATGTCATTGTGAAAAGTAATTATAACTTCACAGTGCTATTCAGGAACATTCTGCATCCTTGTTGCATGCAAAATTGTCTCAAGTTGGGGAATTTAACTTAATTAAATTTATTGCCAATTACAAAAGCTTTAATTACCGATTTGAGTATTGAGAAACAAGACAAATAGTTAAATACCCAACCAAAGAAAACACTTTTCATCCCTCTTTGTCTCCACTTCAGGCACCTCTTTTTTCTCCTTTCTAATCCCCAGTCTCCTTGATTTTGCCATTACATAACACTCAGTCCCTTTGGAAAGGCAATGGAAGGGTGGGGCAGAAGAGTAAGACGAGTGCATAGTACTTGCTCTTTTTGACTCTTTTTTTCTTGCTCTTTTCAACTGCTTTAGTATGGATCCTCCACCAGACAACATCCTTTGGGACTGTACCTTTCCAGCATGGATTAGTCCATTGTTTGCAACACGTTCAGAGATGTACCATCATCTGTGTTTTCTTTTGCATGTCCTCATGTATCTCCCGTCTTTCCCTTCAAGCCCACTCTGTTCTTTCCCTCTGTTATTTCTGTGTTGTTTTGTGTCTCTTGCATCATCTTCCTGCCTCCTTCTGTGTCTTCTTTTACATCTCCTCATTTTACATGACTCCTCACATCCCTCCTCCTGTATTTTTACTTGTGCCCCCTGACACGTTTTCCTTTGCATTTCTCCTCTGTGGTGTTTCCTGTCTCTAGCAGATTCTGACATTTCTTAAGTTTGTTTTCTCAGAGATGCCATATTCTGTTTGGTTCCAGTTTCAGTTGTGCAGTGGGTCCACACTGCTCTTCAATGAGCTCACTTTAAACAGCTGTGCCCAGCACAGGACATACTCTCCTCCCTGCCCTGCAGCTCCCCAAAACCCCTAGCATGTATGCCACATACAGTTTTTAAGTTTTTATCTCCACCATAATGATCTATGGATCCCTGATTTCACATAAATGGACAAAGAGCAATGGGTACTAGCACAAAAAAAAAAAATCCCGTGTCATCAGTACTTGAAAAATGGAATTAAGTTTTTTATGATTGTTCTTTTCTTAAGAGCTATTTACACCTGCATTAGTGTGAGAGATGTATTCACTTCTAAAGACCAGATGCCATGACAACACATATGTGTTTTTTTAGGTATACCAGTTCCAGAATATGGAAAGACTACACACTTCTGACATTAATTAAATTTGACTTACCATAACAGAATCAAGTTTTTGTTTCACCTTCTGCATTCTCATTGAGGCTCTTGCAGCACTGACAAACTGATCTGCTGGAGACATCACTGAGTTTTTTTGCACAGGAATTTCAGAAAAACTGCTAATGAAGTGTGGCCCTCTTGGTGCAGCTGTGGTAAGTGATGAACTGAGATCTCTTACGAGTTCAGCTTCCTGTTGAGCAACTGTAGAAATAACCAATATTAATGTCTCAGGTGAAGCCTTACATTGCCATGGGAAAAAAATTTGAAAGATCACAGCCATTTTGCCAGCCATGTCTTCAGTCAAATACCATCAAAAACTGTACCAACAGTGCTATAGAGAAAACCTGAAAGTGATATGAAATTTTCCCCTTACTACCCCATTTTCCCCCTAACTCTTCTGATCACAATATCTCACTTCAGTTATCTGTGTTTAGTAATCTCTCATACAGAACTGGTATTTTTGTATTGCTTATAAACAATATTGTTCTTCATACAGAAATATGGCATTGGGTGAGGGGAAAGAGTGGGAAGAGAAAGGAATTTTTCAAAGGCAATAAAGATGTAAAGCCTGCACTGAGTTCAAGTTGGTGACATTTCACATTTTTTCCAGCCTAGTTCAAGTGAGTTTATGATGCCTGAGTAATATTTCATAAGTTGACAGACAGGCACAGGACACACTGACTGACAAGCTGACTTCTGCAATTTTTTTTACTATGGTCTCAAGCCAGTAAATGTTGAAAGAATTCTTTATGGACGTTCTGCCCATGATATTAATGAAACTGTTGGTATATCTAAAACACATGCTGTCAGAGTCTTAAAAATTAGTATTTTAGTCAGTGACTAAAATTAGTATTACTGTACTATTAACTCTTTCAACACTGTGGCAGTATGACTATTTTCTGAAAGCAAAAAGAGTGCTTTTAACTAAAAAGGAACACAAAGATAGTTACCAACAATACAAAAAAAGACCACAACCTATGCAAAGCCTTACTGTCAGCAGTTAAGCAGTCAGAAGACACAAATAACTAAGACTGTGCTGTATGGTCTCTAAATGTGTATGCACATATATATATATATATTTCAAAATACTACATTAAGTTTTTTAAGACTCACGGTCTGTTCATCAAAAAAATCTGAAGAAACCCTTCACCCCAAAAAATTTCATTGTTTTTTAAAATACCAATATCCTACTTAATTGAGTATAGCACTGAATATTAATGACAAAGTCATTCCACTTAACGTTCCCATAAAAGTCAACCAATTCAACAAATAACCTACACTGAGATTTTATATGAGTAATCCTACTACTACATGTTACTTAAAAAGCCACTGTATAAAGACAGGATTAGCTTTACAGATCTATATCCCCTGCAAATATAATTCATACCAAAAAATTACTGCATATTAATTACTGGGGGAAAATGCATATTTTAATACATTAAATATTAAAATTTATAATTAACACATTAACTCTCTAGATGCAAATATTCTTAATTGAACACAACTATCAAAAAAGCCTGCGAAGGACAATCTGAACTATACTTTGTATACCAAAAATTCAAAGTTAGCATTTATTACTATCTTCTCTTTAATACAACATGGGGAATGAGCATATCTCTGAAATAATGACATCACAGCTATAACAGCTATTTCTCATAAGTCTATACACTCTCATTCATTTCTATACAGCTCCTCAACATTATTTTGTAACATAACTGGCACAAACTACTCATATTCTAATTAAGCTAGTAATCAGTCTTCCAAATAATTGTATTTTCTGGATCCATAATCTATCCTGATATTGCAAAAAGGGCTTTTGTATAATGCTGCCTATATATGATAAAGTGCTGCAAAAATCACACAGTATGAAACACAAAAAAAATTGAGTGACCTCTGGTGATTTTGGCTAGGCCAAAACCCTTGCTTAAAGCAGCATCACATAGAACAGGTAGTGCAGGATCATGTTCAATTCAGTTTTGGTATCTCCCAGAAAAAAAGATATGCATTATCATCAAATGACTGTTTTCTTTTCCTCTCAAAAGAAGTACAAATACTAACAAATTTCTTCTAAAAATAAAATACTTACAAGTGAGTATCAAGAAAATTTGTACTGTACCTTTATAATCATAAATGTATACAAGTATTGGATGATTTTGACCAAAGGCACAAAAAGACACCATGTGTTCATGTGGATGAAAGGCAACATCACGAAGTGGAGATGTGAAGGAGAGATCAGAATATATGGCCACCTGATCTCCTGCAGAAGTGAAGTAAGTGTATTAATGCCATGGAAAAATATTTGAAATATTCAATACAGCACAATAACAGTTGGTTAAATCTTGTATTACTGCAATGTTTGCCACTGTAAATAAACATTCTTCAGTCAATTTCCTGATTGAAAAGTTGTATTTTGGCATAAGACAAAGGAAATATTGCATGCTTTTAAGTTGTTCAGTAAGTCAGAAAAGTCAGTGCTGTTGCAATAGCTGCAGGAAATGCCAGAGGAGAATGCACCAGGTTAGATGAGTTCTCTCATTCTGATAAGCACGTTCTGGAAAGGTGGCGTTCCACAGTATTTGTTTGTGCTTGCATTGTACAAAGATAGCCATCTTACTTGTGGATTTCAGCTATATAACACTGATAACAGGAGTGAAAGTTGAGGAGAGAATTATTAAAAAATATAAATAAAATTAGGTCTTCAGCTGATGGCACTATAAATGCAAATATAGTGTGTAAACAGAAGTCAAAATCCAATAAAAACATACTAATAACAAAGTTCCTCTTTCCTTTGAGTTTTATAATTTTTAAAAAGTTTTAAGGCAAATTATGTAGATGCAGAGATGCAAGCTAACATAGTCGGAAACATGGAAAGAAATTCACAACAGAACTATTAGTTATCTGCCAATTTCAAAATATTTACCTTTTTTATTTTAAAATACTATATAAATTACAATTACAGATAGAATATAATGTCATCAAATCCAAAATGGTATTCTGATACTTTCTGCTCTTATTTTCATCTCTTTTACCTCCTGTACAAGAAACTCTACCCTACATTTTTGTCACATTTTTTCTGAAAGATTTTGGTAGCTATTTTGAAACTCCTTGGCCTGTGAACTAATTCACAGTGAAATCTTATATACCACACACAAAAAATATTCAGTCTCTGACCACCCACCACAGAGATGAAGCGGTTCTGCACAAGGGCCTGTAAACAACACAACAGAAAAACTTACCTGACTTAAAACATTTTTTGTGCATTCCATCTTAAGATCCTCACCACATGTAAAGAGCTGCAGCATACAAAAAGCTGAGCCTCAGGTGCTCCAGTCATGCTGGATATTACAAATGTTACCTCTATTAATTTCCTCTAGAGAATTAAATCTCAGAGATTAATAACAGCTATTTAGAAGGTGGAGCTAAAGCTTCAGGATTTAAGAATGTCTTACCAAGTTTTATTCCATATCAAAAGTGTTTCAATAAACCTCAAAAAATCCTTTCCCCCTCAGCTTTGACAATTTGGCTTAAGCCCATAAAATAATTAGTTACCTGTTTCTGGATTCCAAACATAAGCCTTTCCATCTTCACTTCCTGAAAACAGGAACGTACCACACGGTGTTAAGGTGCTGTGAATCTTTTCTCTGTAATTTGTGGCACCTACATATTTCTTTGCCGCCAAGCTAAAGAAAGTTTGCAAATATAGAAGATATATTCAGGATAGACAATTTAATTTTTTAAGTGTCACTTTCCCCTCTATTTCTCAGAAAAATCAGTACACCTTGCATCCCAAATAGATATGCAAGCACACACTTTTTGCAGAGTGAAGTACTTATTTCCCCTTTATTTTCCTTAACCTTCATAATGCACCTGACAGTATAGATAAAAATGTACATCCTTGTCTTTCAGAAGAAAACGGAAACCCTCAGATCTAGACAACAGATAGAGATGCAGTAATTTGCACTATCTTGATCCTGGGCTTTGCAAAAATACAGGGAAATTAGCACTATTATACCAAGCTCTGTTAGAAAAGCTTTCATTATGGTTCTTGAGCTTGAATGATTAAACCTATCCAGTAGCTCTCTTCAGCTCTTCAGACTAATGTCTCCTTGGTCAGAAAACCAGCAGTACGATCAACAAATTTCAGACATAAATGCTGATTTGCTATTAATGTGTTCAATATTATTTTTGAACTTAAGTATCCTAATCTTTTTTCAGTGAAACACTATTGGTCAGCACAGTAATAATGATCTACTACCAAAGTCTGTCAGCATCAAGTAGGAGAGAATCCACAAAAGGATGGAAAGAGGATATATCATCTTGTAAGAGGCATAGCCTGGAAAAAGATACCAAAGTTCAACATGGACACTAACCCAGCAGCAGTACTACAATGCAGAATTCATGGCAAGAAGAACACCAATAGACCACCATGCCCTCAAGGACAGAAGACAGCATTATTTCATATTTGTTACTGCAAAAACAATGGAGGTATGCTGGGAGAAGTGCAGTGCATTTAATATTACAGGAAAATTATTTTAAACAATATTCCAAATAAATATACCCTAGATGATCCCACAGCAAGTCCATATTAGCCCAAATACGAGTTTTAGCAGTATGAATAAGAAAGATAGTATCTCTGAGATGTCATTAGAAGAGCCCTGCAAGATGTAAAACAAACCTTCATATGAAACTCTAAGGAGAGGGCTGAACTAAAACCAAATCCCTGATCACATACCTAAGTGACAGGACAGCAGCATTATCCAAAAGATCAAAAAAGCAAGTTGAAAGAGGTAAGTTAAGAGTGACCAGCTGTCAATCAAAGTGAATTGTGTTCATCTGTGACCTCCACCCCCTCTTTTCTCATGCAGGGAATGAACAGTTAATGCTGACGTGTAAAATTATCACTGCTGGGTATCTGACCCTGTGGTTTATTGATAGACTTAGAAGTCAATGTAACTGTGGGCTGTGGTCAAAGTAGCAGTCCTGATGGTGTCCTCTCCACCCTTATTTTCCCAGGCTCTCCCTCATTTCTTCTCTAGTGTTTGGGCAGCTATCAGATAAATTTGATCAGAGATTTGATTAAAATGAAAATTAATCATTTGTACTTGTAGGCTAATTTTTAGTTGGATCAGCTCACTGATCTGACTTACCCCGCATCACAAGATCTCTAGAAATGATAAAAAAGAAATGCTAGGAATACACAGCTAAAGGTGTGGGAGATTGCAGGAGATGGTACCTCCTATGGATAGATTTGCTTAAAATAATTTTGAAATTGCACCCCACATTAAACCCTTTCTTACAGATTAATATGCCTGCCCATCTTTCCCTCTCAAACTAAAACTCTCTGCACATTTTAGTAAGAGAAGCAACAGCAGAACACTGCCTAAAAAACTACAGGTTCTCTCTCTTAATTCAGCAATTTCATGCTTTGATTGAGTGGATAGTTCAGCTTCTAGCATGGTCATTATAATTTATCATATACAGAAAAAGAGAAACGTCCACCATAATACAGTAAAGTCCTCAGCTAGTTCAAACATTCAATCCACTACAATAACAGAATTGCTTAGTTTCAAAATGACCTTCAAGATCATTAAGTCCAACTGTTAACACAGCACTGTCCCATCCACTACTAAACAATATACCTAAGGGCCACATCTACACAATTTTTAAATACTTCCAGGGATTTTCTGTGTGGTGAGGGATGGAAAGAAACCTGCAAAATTAAGGATGAAACATTTTAGAAAAGTTGTTCATATCTTTAATGTGACTTTCCAGAACATAAAGTTCAGGTGCATCTTATATAAGTAAGCAATTGGTGAGAGATTCTGCTCACTCCCACCCAATGAAAGTACAAGAGGGAATGCACATAAATTGAAATATAGCTAATTCTGTTTAAAAAGAAGAGAAAAGTCTTTTATTTTGAGGGTAAATGAACACTAGAACATGTTGCTCACAAAAGTTGTAAAATCTTCATCCATCGAGATATTAAAAATCCAACTGTATAAAGCTCTGAGTAGCATCTTTAGAAGACTAACATTGTATTCTTCATGCCACTTTAGGCTCCCAAGTAATCTAGGAAATTTTAGATATTCTGTTCTAAAAGACTTACTCAATATCACCCAAAGACTTACTCAATATCACCCAAAATGTAACACAGCAGTGTTTTGAAATAATTTCCTAACCCTAACATTTCTATCCTTGATTATTAAGACATCTTTTTTCTCCCCAGCTACACAACTAATACCTTTGCAGAATTTATTACCCCATGTAAATTTTAAAACATAAAGGAAATAAACATTTGTCACCAAAAATACCAACATTCTGAGATCCATAATTCTCAGGGTACTGTCTTTGGCATGGATTAATAAACGCCTTCCATTCGGATGCACTTCCAAATGATTTACTGGTGTTCCTTTAATATCATTTTCTTTTATTTCCTACAGAAGGATGGAAAATAAAGAAAATTATATAACTTTGTGGTTTAAAACTTGTATTTTGATACATTATTGCCCATTTTTCTCTTGCATCACTATTTTTCTACTCAATTCATTTTATTTGGTTAAGGAAAAAGTTTGTTCCAGTATTAAGGCATTACGTCCTAGACATCAACATTTTACAACCACGAGGCAGATTTTGTTGTGACTGAATTTCTAAAAAAATTAAGCTGATGACGGAAATGCTGACTTAACATTAGGGCTCTAAGGTATAAATAAATGTGTTTTTTAAAGCCTCTGGTCCATTTTATTTTTGTCTCTAGAGAACAAAGCATTTACCTGTTAAAACAGTGCTATCAAACTCCAAGTATCTTCATGTTTTATATATCAAGAGAAAAATACAGAATCACAGACTCCTAGAAAATCCTTAGTTGCAACGGCCCCCACTATGAACATCAAAGATGAACTCCTGGCCCTATACAGGACAGCCCCAAGGATCACACCGTGTGCCTTGAGAGTCCAAATACTTCTTGAATTTTCTCAGGCTTGGTGGTGTGATCACTTGCCTGGGGAGTCTGTTGCAGTGCCCAACCCAATTAAGTTACAAAACAATTTTAAAAAATTAAGTCAGTGAATCACTGCACACTGTATCAGTTCTTCTATACCATTTTTAAATAAAATACACCTCTGCAGTTAAACAAAAGGTAATGTATTAAAAAAAATTAATTCAAATCAGATTACTAGATTTGGAATAGGTCACATAAAAATTACAATGCTCATTAAGAAACCTGTTTACCTTATTGACCTTCCAGTGTTGAAAAAGGTGTGGAGAACTTCCTTTGACAGGTGTATCCCAAACTATTATCAGTCCTGAACTATCTCCTGAGAACATGTGGTGTCCTGAGAAATAATGTCTTATAAGCAAAATACCACAAAATAATAATACAGAAAATAAACAATATTTTGTTCTCTTATTTTTGTGAACAGACAAATACCAATTCTTCCATCTCTTTTGCTACTGTGCACATGCATTTTGCTCATATCACATAACATAAGCTGATACCACAAATCCTAACCCTAACATTTCTATCCTTGATTATTAAGACATCTTTTTTCTCCCCAGCTACACAACTAATACCTTTGCAGAATTTATTACCCCATGTAAATTTTAAAACATAAAGGAAATAAACATTTGTCACCAAAAATACCAACATTCTGAGATCCATAATTCTCAGGGTACTGTCTTTGGCATGGATTAATAAATGCCTTCCATTCGGATGCACTTCCAAATGATTTACTGGTGTTCCTTTAATATCATTTTCTTTTATTTCCTACAGAAGGATGGAAAATAAAGAAAATTATATAACTTTGTGGTTTAAAACTCGTATTTTGACACATTATTGCCCATTTTTTCTCTTGCATCACTGTTTTTCTACTCCATTAATTTTATTTGGTTAAGGAAAAAGTTCGTTCCAGTATTAAGGCATTACGCCCTACACATCAACATTTTAAAACCACAAGGCAGATTTTGTTGTGACTGAATTTCTAAAAAAATTAAGCTGATGATGGAAATGCTGACTTAACATTAGGGCTCTAAGGTATGAACAAATGTGTTTTTTAAAGCCTCTGGTCCATTTTATTTTTGTCTCTAGAGAACAAAGCATTTACCTGTTAAAACAGTGCTATCAAACTCCAAGTATCTTCATGTTTTATATATCAAGAGAAAAATACAGAATCACAGACTCCTAGAAAATCCTTAGTTGCAACGGCCCCCACTACGAACATCAAAGATGAACTCCTGGCCCTATACAGGACAGCCCCAAGGATCACACCGTGTGCCTTGAGAGTCCAAATACTTCTTGAATTTTCTCAGGCTTGGTGGTGTGATCACTTGCCTGGGGAGTCTGTTGCAGTGCCCAACCCAATTAAGTTACAAAACAATTTTAAAAAATTAAGTCAGTGAATCACTGCACACTGTATCAGTTCTTCTATACCATTTTTAAATAAAATACACCTCTGCAGTTAAACAAAAGGTAATGTATTAAAAAAAATTAATTCAAATCAGATTACTAGATTTGGAATAGGTCACATAAAAATTACAATGCTCATTAAGAAACCTGTTTACCTTATTGACCTTCCAGTGTTGAAAAAGGTGTGGAGAACTTCCTTTGACAGGTGTATCCCAAACTATTATCAGTCCTGAACTATCTCCTGAGAACATGTGGTGTCCTGAGAAATAATGTCTTATAAGCAAAATACCACAAAATAATAATACAGAAAATAAACAATATTTTGTTCTCTTATTTTTGTGAACAGACAAATACCAATTCTTCCATCTCTTTTGCTACTGTGTACATGCATTTTGCTCATATCACATAACATAAGCTGATACCACAAATCTGGATGCAGCATATACATTCAATACAGAGGTGAAGAACATATTTTTAATTTTTTTCCATTTTTATTCATATTCTAAAAGATTAATTCTAACAGTGAGTATTTACAGCTCAATGAGCTTCACATGATAGCTCAATGCTTACTTACACATTGAGCACTAAGAGAACCTTGAACTAGAACATATAGTGTTTTCCAGCACTTGTACTTTAAGCACAAATATTTATTCTTTATAAAAATACAGCTTTCCTCTTTGTAGTACCTACTCCAGTGACTAAATGAACCACCTAACTATTAATGATGTCACTAATACTAGAGAAAGTTAAGCTTTAACTTTCACCCATCTTCAACTCTTCCTCCACTAGTACATCTCAGTACAACATTCACTTTCAGCTGTTCAACCTGCCAGTTAACATGACTCACAATAGTCAAACCACCGTTCTTTTCTCTCCATGTCTCCTATTCTCTGTCAATATTGAAAATTTAATCACTTCCCACTTCTTCAGCCTAGAGCTAAAATTCTCACAATCTAATTACTACCACCTTGTTTTCTTTATCGATGGATTTGGGTTGAAAGGGACCTCAAAAATTATCTAGTTCTGATGCCCCTAAAATAGGGAGGGACACCTTCCACTGGAACAAAGCCCAGACCAGCTGGCCTTGAACACCTTCAGGGACAGTGCATCCACAATTTCACTGGGCAACCCATTGTCTCATGTCTCAGTACGCTCCCAGTAAATAATTTCTTCCTAAGAAGAATACACTGCCTCCGTGAAGTAAGGAAAACTAGTAAAACTCAAGATGGTATTCAATTGGAAAGACAACTATTTGTAAAAGCAATATTAACTACATACCTTCTGCATCAAAACAAAGTGTGTTGATGAAACTTTTATGGCCATCAAGCTCCTGTAGCAGTTGCCCATGGATTTCTTTCACATTTGCATTCCAGATTCTAATCACTGAGTCGTAACATCCTGTCACAACCAACGAGTCAGCAACTGGGTGGTACTTGGCAGTGTAGACAAATGAAGGATGAGGGAAAACTCTCACTGCAGATGCTGCCTTCATTTCTATTTTCCACATTCTAAAAGGAAACAAAGTAAGAATTTCTGCTGTATAAAGCAGTCACACACAGAGGTATAACTGATGCCCATATTTTGGGCTCCTTACTCTAGAGGCAAATGCTTGCAAGCACTTAACAATACCTGTTTATTCTGCCAATTTGTTCCACCTCTTTTTAATCCTTTATTATGGTACTTTCTAATAAGAATGAAGAAAAATTTACTACTTTACACAGTATTTGGTCTTCAAAGCAAATTAATGACTGCTTACTCACTTAATGGATATATTTCTCATTTTAAAATACTCACTCATAAAGAATTCCATTAAATGAATTGGTTTCTTTCTTTCAGTAGTTATAAATAAATTAAGCTCTTCTGGGTTATCATTCATTTAAAACAATATCAGAACAAGAAAAGCCATAAAGGAACATTTAAGGCCAATAAATATAAATAAAATCCCAGAAAATTTTAGAATAATGATTACCAGCCACACAGTCATCATGATCTCAAGGATGTTTACAACACCTAAATTAACTTCTAACTGTTCATCTATTTCCTATCCTTTGCTAACCATAGCTCTAAGATCAGATTTTTGTTAGCATTTTCTATTTCATGGTACGCATTTTATTAGTGAGCCATCCACAAAGAATAAAACAGTATTTGGATCACTAAACACAGGTGAGCAGCACATTATATACAGTATTCAGTTACAAAATTATTGAATTGTTTTAGTGGCACCCACTTCTGGTGAGGCAACCACACCGGGTGGCTATTGAAGAATTCTAAGTTTACTCAGAGGTGACTTAATCACAAAATTGTAAAATTGTTAGAGTACAACAATTAAGCTGCAATTTAATGCAGAAAGGTCAAAAGGAGTTTACCTATCTTTCAGAATGGTTTTAATCTAACAAAATAAAAATTAATTTATTGCTCACTAATAATGTGGGACTAACCCTTGGGAAGGCTTGAGGAAGACATAGAACACTATATAAAGAAGAATCCACAGAAGTTCATGAATTTACCTTTATGTTACCTTAGAACTCAGTATGAGATAATCCAAATAATAAACTGATAATGACTTTAAAGTAATGGGGTGCTGAGACTTTTTAAGGAGCTGAAGGCAACTCACAAAAAATACAGGAACTAATAACTCATAACTGTGACTGCACACAGTACACAGAAAAGGAGGATGACCACTGCAGTTTCAACTTGCTGCCACAAATTCAAGAATTGTGGAACAGCTTGGCCTTCTTACAGGCAACATAACTGACTGAAATTGATATCTATCTCAATATAAAAAAATTTTACTTAATCCACTCCCAAATTTTAAAAAAAAAAGTGCTGAACTCTCAACACACTCTTTTTTCTGCCTAAATACAAGCAGCAAAAAAATACTAGAACAGTTCCACATATACAACATATCATTTAACAATTCTTCTGTCATTTCAATTATGCAACTGCCTGTAACATTACTGAGCTGCATATCAGAAATAATAGATAGGGATCTGAAGGCCTAAAAAAACAAAAAAAAACTCTATGAAAATCAATGAAGTTGTTCACAATAAAACTGTACAGTGTCCCAGCAATATTTCCATGTGTATGTACAGCTTTGAGGGTTTTGTTTTTCAAATCTGAGCAGATCAATATTTTCACATTAACACTGTAGGGAAGTACACTTTAATTATAGCGGATTCAATTTAAGAAATAACAGTATCAAAATTCATTTACAGAAATTCAAGCTGAATTACTTTACTAAGTAAAAAAACCAAAAGAACACCACCAACATTTATACAAGCAGAGTAGTAAATTTACACACATAACTTGAATCTTAAACTTTTAATTTCCTGCCTAGTGTTCAAATTTGCAAACTTAATACTACATTCATAGTATGGCAATTTCTCCAGGAACAGACTATTACAACTGTCTCAGTGTCTTCTCAAAATAAAAGCTCTTTCAGTTTTTTACGGCACTGTAGATTTAGACTAGTACTAGAGTTTTTGGAAAAGCTTTCATTTCAAATACAAATGCATTACAAACAGTAAATAGTGTAAGTGATTAACCCAATCACAATTTTTATATTATTTAAGTCACACGGTAACCAAATCTTTAATTAAAACATTATAGCACAGTTTGTAGTAAAACACTGTATTAGACCACTTTCTTTTCAACTTCTGATGGTATCTGCCAGAACACCCCATCATACTGACCTGACAGTGCCATCAGAGGAAGCAGTAAGAAGGTATTGATTGTCTTTTGACCAACAAAGATCATACACTATGTTAAGGTGACCATAAAATTCTCTCAAGAACTGTCCAGAAGGAATTTCATACACTAGGGAAGTAGAAATAGAAGTTTTGTAAGTATTTGCAGTCAAACAGATGTACCTACTAAAGCCAAAGTTTAGTGCAATCTCAGGCTCATCTTCTGCTAGCATAAATCAATTCACTTTCTTTATCTTCTCATTTTGAGGCAACAGGATGAAACAATTGCTAGGTATGAATAGACAGCAAGCATATACTTCCACCTAGTGGTTCATGGATGTCACAAATGTCTTACCCCCTAAGAAACACCTTATTTGCCTTAAATTATTAGAACCAGATTAGGATTATGCTGTTTTTTGGGGTTTTTTTTGTAATTCTGAGAACTAATTGACCAATCTTAAAATATTTTAACACTGAGATAATTTTATGGGGCTGCGTAAAAAAGGAATCTAGATTTACAGTTCCTTGCATTTAAACACTTTGTGTACATTTAAGAAACTGCTCTTCCTAAATCTCAAAACTTTTATGCAAGGTTTAAGAACTATGCAGTTCAAGCTACCGTGATGAAGCAGTCAAAAATTTGAGTTACAAGAAATGTTTGTACTTCAACTGAACCGGATCATGGGAGACAGCAGCTTCCAGTAGTCTGGCGATGGTAACATTCCAGTATCCAACTTTACAGACAGGTTAGGAGAAAAATTTACATGAGAAGTGTGTAAAGTGGAGGCTTAAAATGTTATTTCCCTCAAAACATTATAATCAGAAACTATGCTCTTTCTGCAAACTAATTTAGTATTTCCATTAGGCCTCTGGGCAGAAATAGTGTAATTTCATACCATTAAACTGTGTATGTGTAACCACATAGGAAAAGCCAGTTCCAGCCCTATCAACACAGAAAGAGCATTTTCCTCAATGCTCTTTAACACACAGAACAATCGTCTAATCACAACTACAAACCAGAAACTTAAAAAAGCACAATTTAAAAATTAACTTCCCTTAATCTTTAATTTCCAAATACATGGATTATAAGCAAAAAGCCAAAATGTATTTAAACTTACAAGCAATGGGATAGCCACTCCTTCCTGCACATGCTGCTGCCAGCGTTCTCCCGTCATGAGAGAAGCGGATACAAAAGCAGCCCATATCTCCACCTCGCAGGGAAAACAGGTGCTTGTTGGGTATGCGGCAAGCCTGGCTTTTCAGGGAACAATTGGCAGGAATATTAACTATCCAGTGCAGGGAACACACTCAGCTCCTGACATGCAGGAGCTCTAAAAGGCTAGTAACATCTTAATGGCATTCCAAAGTAAAACTCAATGTATTATAAACAGAGACAGTTTTGCAGCACAACCGAGGCCCCATGAATGTGTATCTCTTTCTGCCCCATTATTGCAAACAACTAGCATGTTTAAAAAAACCTGAAAAAAACCCAAATTGAAATAAATTGTTTCATCTTAAGAAATGCTTAATAACGTCTACCATCAGTGATGTAAGCTGTGGAGTTAGACTGTAAGTCAAGGTTGTTTAAGGAGCCTAAGCACACCTTTTAGTCACCTAATGACTGCACTGTGAACTCATAACCTTTGGTCTTCCACCAAATAATTTTAAAATTCCTCATCTGTATTTAAATATCTGACTTTTAAAGGCAGAATCAGAGATGAAGCACCTCAAAAAACTGAACTGGTATTTTAGACCCCTTTCCTTGCTCCCAACATAATACCTCTTTTTGACCCAACGGCTTTTTCCCCAAAACTAAATTCAGATTTTAAGGTGAAGGGCAACATCCACAGTAGCTACGTGGTTCTTCAATGCAAGCTCTTTCTTTTTTCATAGTTTAAAGATGTCTTCAACAAACAAAAAGAAAAGTCAAGAAAATGTATTTCTAACCAAGCTGAAGTCTGAGAACTGGCTTCCTGTCTTACTTCTTACTCTTTCAAATTCTTAGCAAATTCTGCAGATTCTGACTATTCTGGTAAAAAAATGCATATTTGCTAAGGTTAAGCCTCCTCTACTATCTATGAGAGATCTTTGTTTTGTTTAATATCTTTGTTAATTATTTTAATTAATTGCTTGCTTCATAATACTTATAAAAATATTGAAGTTATTTTCATTTAAAATTCAAAGAAAAATGCTTCACCTGTCCAGGCAATCTTGACCATTTAAATGGCTCCTTTTTCTCCTCTAAAGAAGGTTCACATCCTTCTCTCTGGAGCTCAGACAGCGCTGTATTACTTTGTTCCTGTTGAACAGCTGCCATAGAGTGAAAAGAAGGACCAACCTTAAGGCAAACAAAAGTAAGTATCAGAGAAAGATATTTTTTAAGTGAACAGTGTAATTTCTAAAAAGGTTAAGAAAGATACTTTTAATTTAAATGTCTTGCATTTTTATATCTGAAACACAGAGACTGGAAAAGGTTAATACATGAGAACTGCATTGCAAAATGTCATTTAAAGTAACCAGGAGTCAGAAAGTAATCAAAGCTTCCAAAGTTGTGTCAATCCAATGGTATCACAATTTTTTCAAATAATTGATTATCTCCTATTTTTAGTAACTATCAAGGTCAGTGAAAATTAGAATTACTCCACTATTGTATTGTATTGTGCTACTGAGAGGGTGCACATCTCACCAGGCTTGCACAGCCCACCCTTCATAGTACAAAAGTGAGCAGAAGAAGTTATTATCACAGTTCTAAATACAAATGGGAAATTATATAATAGAACAATATTGTACTTGCACCAGAGAAAAGAAAACACCACAATTATCTTGAACACCGATCTCAGCACATACCAGTGTAAGCCTATTTTTAAAGCAACTTTCATATGTGAAAAAAATATAGCTCACTACAGCTAGAGGGTGCAGGGAAGCAAAGATAAGTAACTTGCGTCTTTTCTCAAAGAATTTTTACACCTGCATGAGGTCAGTGACTTAAAAATGGCATTTCTGCTAAGAAGAAGAAATGCTCATCTTCAAGAAAGTACTCTGAAAGTTTTCAGAATGCCAGTGGCAAACATTCAAAGTTATAGGTAGGAAAGTATGCCTATTTTTCAAAAATACCTATGAAGGGCTGAGTTTGAAACAACTATCTTGAGATGTAACATTCTTATTATATATTTTATATCCTGCATGTAAGCACAGCTTTTATACACCTGCATACAAACAGACTCACATGCTCTACCTAGGTACTAGTTCCTACAGAAAAGTCTGCATATTTGCAAATATATTTAAATATTATATACTTAACTTACATGATCTGGCAGTTTTAGGCCTTTTACAGTTACGTATAAAGTTGATGGGTAACGATTTCTAGGACATTTTGCCCACCAGTCATAAACCTCAACAACATTTGAATGTGACTTGGTCCTTGAAGGTGGGTAATATAATTGCAGACGAAGTTTTCCACCCACATTTAGAACTCCATTTGCACCTACAAGCTGGAAGGGTGATTGAAAAGAGGAAAGAGGAAGAAAGATGAACACAAAAGTAATTGATAATGTCTAATATCTAACCTAACAGCATAAACTCTTGAAATCATTTCCCACTGCAGAAATATACTAACTCTAAAAGTGACAGCGAACTAAGCATGTATTTAATCCCCCCAGGATCAAATAATGAAGATTAAATCTTAGATGGCAGCCTAGTTTCAAAAGATGCTTCACAGCAGTAGTAGCAGTAGTATCTTGAAAGTAAGAAGACCTCTGCAGTACTTATTTTCTTTTTTTTTTAAGTACTTGTTAAAATCAACCAAATCTCAAAGAACTGCCAATCCATAAACAGCTTCTTCCAAATCTGTCCTCTTTGAATGCTGCAATGAAGGGCATTGGGTAGGTTTTTGTTCAGAGCAAAAGATACAGCAGTGTAGTACCCTCTCCAACTTCAGAGGACACAGAGTCATCTCTACTGAACCAAAGAATAAGAGAAGCACCTACTGCCATTAACACTGGTCTGTCTTGAATTGAGACATTTCTACTCTGACTGATACAGATAAAAGGATAATGCAGGCAGATGCAGTAAGAATGAAGAACAGCCAACAATTTTATTCATAATTATGAGCTAAAAATTTATTCTTCCCTCTGTTCAGGAGTAGGCTGTACTGAATGCCTGGATGCACAATTCCTACCAGCTCTGCTAACAGGCCTGGGATAGCAGACCCCTGATTCCAGTAGATTTCTCCTGGGCAGAGCTCAGAGGAATCTCTGTGTTGAATTGCTATGGAGGCCCCCATCCCTTCACCTGTACTTGCAGTCCATTATCTTCTCCTGTATTTCTCACAATTCCTCTATGTTGTGGACTGCTCAATGATTGCAAATGACTATCACACACAAGGGTAGGTGTAAATAAACAATCCTCAGGGAAAGTGAAGTATGTCAGCTCTCAAAGAACGAATTGACACATTCAAGTTTCTCTTAAAAGGCTAGGAAGTTACACATGTGCTGGCTAAATTACCCATATCTCACATTTGGCACATTTGTATCTCAACAAATGAATTTCAAACTCTGCAACTGAAAATGAAAAGCATTCTATAATTAAGTTAAGGAGTCTTATCAAAGACTGGACAACTGAAAATGCCACCAGAATACAGAACAGCTGAGGTACAGAAATTAGTGGATTTGTCATTTTCTTCACATTCACATAAAGAAAACCCTAAAAGAAAACAACTTTCTGCACTTTATGAACAAACAAAAAAGATGTTACACGTTCTACACTTCCTTGAAAAAGACATATTCTTTAATGTCAAGCCTGTTACTGTGTTGATTTTATGGGGTGGAAGAAGAGGAAAAGGGGAGAACAGCCGAGCAAACAAGGATTTTTTTTCTTCTATCTCTGTTGCTGACATTATTTTAAAATGCTTTCCTCCTTAGTACAGTTAGAGATTTTCAGATAAAAATATTTATGTCTATTTTTTAAATTTAAGTATTTACAGTACCTTTAGGAATGCCCAACAAATTTTTCGGTAACGACCTTCCTGAATTCTTACATCAGAGCTGGCTCTCACTTCATGCATACCTGGAGAATCAAGGACCTAGAAGTATCAGCAGGAATATAAATGTATTTCTAATGAATGTATACTTCATGGTAAATAATAAAAAACTGCTGAAAATATGCTCAGTCAATTCATTAAATTAAACAGATTTAAATTTTAAGAAAGTACAAAACCATTGTTTCTTCCACACAAAATAGAAATAATAGGTCCTTATGCATTTTCCTGATGACTATTTATAACTTTCATTAAAAAAGAAGTCTAGTCTTAAAAAAACTTATTCTTGCTCCCCTTGGGTCTCAATAAAAGAGAAAAAAACAATTATGTGTAATTTTCTTAATTCAGAAATAATTTAGATCACAAATCTGATGGCTAAAACCAGCTGCATATTAATCTAGATGGGAAATGGCAGTCAAAAAGTTAAGTTTTTCTTTCTTAGCTTTATCAGTTTTGTCATTGAATCAGTCATAGAACAATTTGGGTTGGAAGGAGCCTTCAAAGATCACAGAGTTCTGAGCCATGGGCTTGGACACCTTTCACTAGATGAGGCTGCTCAAAGCCACATTCAAACTGGCCTTGAACACTTACAGGAATGCCTATGATTATTAATTTTTCAGTCAAGGACCTGGATTTTCCCATATTTCACTACTCCTGGAAGTTTATGTGGTATACAGAAAACCCTTAGAATAATAATTTTTTCAAACTTGTATTTCATAAACCACACTTAAGTCAAACAGCCTTTTTTCAGTGGAATCATACTTTTGGTTCCAACATTATTTCCATGAAGAATCTTCACATACAAACATAATTAGTTTTGTGTTAAGCAATTAAGGATTCTTAATTCTATAAATATGTTCATTTACAAGCATCACAAAGCATTAAGAAACATATGGCAATAAATTATATTCAATCTACTTGAAATAGGAAAAAAACCAAGGAACGAAAAGTATTTATTGTATTAGGTTTCCATTTTTATGTTAACTCTACAGAATATCTCTGTACAAATATTGAAATGCCTAAGCAAAAAATTACATTGAATACATAACCTTAAATTTTTCCTTTAAACATAACTGTATTGGAGGACAAATTAACAATTACTTTATGAAGACTGGGACAGGAGAGGTAGATGTGTAAAATGTTAATGAAATAATGCTCATTGGTACAATGTGGTGCTGCTACACACAGACAAATTCTACCTTTGAGTTTCTTGTACCTAAACCACTTTTCAGGTTTCAAGAATGTGAAAAGAGTGATATCCACCATATCTTACCAGCCTTCCCCAGAATGAGAGCTGATTTTGTAAGAAAGCTTTGAATTCCTTGTTACTATTAAAACAGGTTCCTTTCCTATAAAAAACCACTTTTGGTATCTCCACTTGTCTTTGTACCTTAAAGCTATGCTATTAACCCAATTTAACTGAAATAAAACACCCGATTCAGTCAAATAGATACTGTTGAAGAAACAAATTAAAAAACAGAATGTGCATAAATCAGATGCAAAATATTTCATCTTACCTCAAAAAACAGGATAACCTGAGGGTTTTCCTCAGTGTTTTGAATAAAATAAGTAAAACACTCATTAAATATTACTTGCTCTTCCCACTCTGGAATTGTTGATTTAAACTTTAGAAAGTCACATGGTTGTGTCATTATAGGAAGAATGTGCTCTACTTCTTGTTCATAAGATGAATCTTCCTTCTTGCTGTTTGAAGATTTCCAAAGAATTACAATTGTTAGAGCATTTAAAAAACAACCTCAAACAAAACAATATTTTCATTTACTGAAAGCTAAGAAACATACAAGACACTATTTGTCTGATTCTAGAAAAAATTTTCTAAACCCGCAAAAAATTGAAGACAATTTGCAATGCATATAGAAAAACTAGAGTTGAAAATCCTAAAAATTAAGTTACTGTTAGCAAATTAATGCATGATGATCATGGTAGAGTCTACTGCTTAAGCCCCATTAAAACGTGGTTTCAGGAAAATTATGGATAATGACAATGGAAACAAGCAACTGAAGTAATTAAGAATATAAAGAACCAGACTTCATTTAAAGATTATAAAAGTTCTTAATATAAAAGGCAGATGCTATTTATGCTACAAGAATTTTGCTTACATCTTCTTGGCTTTTACATACTTCTGACACCTGAGAAATTTTGCCTCTGAGATGAATACAGAATGAACTATGTTGGAAATATTACAGATTCACAGAAGATGCTGAGTTGGAAGGGACCCACAAGGACCATCAAGTCCACCTCCTCGCCCTGCACAGCACCATCCCCAAGAGTCACAGCATATGCCTGAGAGCATTGTCTAAACACATCTTGAACTCTGTCAGGCTTGGTGCTGTGACCACTGCCCTGGGGAGCCTCAAGAACAACACAGCAGAGCAGAGCATTTAGAAGTGTCAAAAGGAAAAGAAAAATATCATCCTCATTTATGGTATGTATAGATACATACATATTATCATAGATGTAGAAACTAATGAACAACTACACAAGCTTAAAATACTCCCTTGTTTTCATTTTCATATTTAATTTTGTAGGGAAGAGTATACCTATTTATTGTAATCAGTGATAAGAAAAAACAGTTTATTAAATGTCACCTATAATCCTTCTTCACATATAAGCCACTTCTCTGATCAACAATATGGATTTTGACCACAGGATGAGATACCAAGTGATCAATTTTAAGTTGATCCGATCGATGGATATAAACTCCCAAAACAAGATCATCTCCAAAACCAAATGTAGACTGAGTTGAAATTTCTGAATTCTTCATTTCCTCATCATTTTCTGCAGCAACTTCCGTGGTTTCTTCTAGGAATTGGAGCAAAGTAAACAAACTGTCACTAGTGGAACATAGTAACTTCTGTGTCAACTAAAAACTACTTACTGTAAATGGAATTTAAGATTGTAGATTGATTTATCAAACAAAATATCCTCACAAATGAGCCTCAGAATTGGAAGAACAGAGGTACAATTGAGTAACTTAAGAAATACAAGTAACTCAAACAGCTCGATCACTTCTGTGCTACTACTACAGACAAGTATTTCTGTAGCAGCACAAAAAAATGCACAGCTAAGTAGGTACAGTCGTAACTTAAGAAATATAAGTAACTCAAACAGCTCAATCACTTCTGTGCTACTACTACAGACAATATTTCTGTAGCAGCACAAAAAAATGCACAGCTAAGTAGGTACAGTATTATAACATTTTGCTGGCACACCTTTTCTGCTTTTCTTCTTAACCTTCTTGGCTTTAGGTTTCTGCCTTTCCACGCTTCCCTCCAGTTTCTGTCCTTCTGACATAAGTAATATTTCAGGTGTCTGACTTTCATTGGCACCTGCTTCTGGATGATGATGCTGCAGCTCAGAAAGGGACATTGCACTGCAAGGTAACGGATCACTGTCAGCAGCTGAAGTCCACTGCATATATTGATACAGTCACTCATTACTATTATTAATCCACTTGAAATTCTGCAACTCATCATCTGTGTATCTTGAAAACGTAACAGCCCCCAGCCCCATAAGTGTCTTGCCTTTTTCAGTGCTCTCCCCTCTTCCTTTCCCCCTAATTTCCAGACAAGTGCAGAACCGTTTATGTGAAAAGTTAAACAAGTACCTTTTTCCCGGATCACAGCCATCACTTATCACTAAAAAAAATCATGCATAAAACTATCTTATGTTAATTAAGAGTGAGTCGCACAGTAAACAAATATCAAATAGCAATGAAGAATATTTTTTTTAAAAGTTGAAAGGAATCCATGAGCTAAATATGAATCATGACAGCCTTTTGAGAAAGGATTTAGTACTATTTTTTCATAACAGAATCACCCAGTTAATCACTTAGAAAATATGAACAATTTATCAGAAAGCTGCTGCTTATCTTAAAATGAAACCTTTTGTGTAAGATTCACAGACATACTATGTACAGTTTGTCATGTTACCTTGTTTCAGCTTCACTTAAAACTGCTCGCTCTTTCTTCTTTTTCTTCTTTTTGCCCACTTCATTATTCAATGCAACTTCATGCCTTTGAACAGTGGAGGTAGATTCAGACATCTGTTCTTTAAGTTTCTTTCTCATTTTTGTTTTAATTGCATTTGCCTCTTCCTCAGCCACATGCAGCTGATAGGCTTGAATTAGCTGCTCTTCCTCTTCTAATTCAGTTACATTTCTTACTTCAGTCAAGGAATTTTTGATCATTCTATCACCATCTTGATCAGGTACATCTGTTTGTGATTTACTTTTTGTTTTCTTCTTTGGAAAATCATTAGTCTTTTCTTCAAAACTCCCCAATTTAGCTTCATATAAATCTTCCTCCTCATTAAATTGTTCTTGTAACAGTGATTTCTTTTTCTTTCTGTTCGACTTTGGCTGCTTGTTCTCTTCTCCACTAACAATATCATTGTTTATTTTCTTTGCAATTGACGCTTTCTCTCTTAATTTATTTTTTGTAAATCTTGGGCTCTTTTCTTCAGGATTATATGTGTTGTTTATAATTGCTTCATCATTCACACTTTCCTTAGACAGATCAATATTATTTCTAAAGGTATCAAGCTATAAATGGAAAGAACATAAAACACATTTTTACTAAAAATCACGTTCCAAGGATAAACACTGCACTTCATGTTATTCCTTCAGCAACATTACTCAAAGTAAAATTAAATCAAAGATCTAGTTAGTTATTTTGTTGTTTCAATTTGACAAGCAACAGATTGAAAGTCAACAGAAAACTCACACTGAAAAAAACCATTTGGTATTTGGGCACCTCATTCTCAATGGCACACTACGTTTTCATATGACTTTTTCACATATCCAGTAAAAAAAGGAAATCACCAAGTCTACTCCATAAACAGATGCCAGTGTTTCACACTGTGGAGGATGAGAAGACTTCATGCACCACAAAAACAAATACTTTCATGCACTGAAAATCCAAGTTAGAGACAGATTTCAGGCTCATTGTTTGCGGTCTCTTACACTGAAAGCCACTTGTCAGAACTAAATTTCAGTTAAGGCATTTGTTTAAGCACTTCTTGACAGTTTTATAAAAAAACATTATAAACTTTCCTCTCTCCTTCAAATTTCTATTTCTGGTTACTAAAGGTTACAGTGCCACTTCCTGGCCTCCTTGGATATGTTCAAGGTCAGTATGGATGCTCTGAGCATCCTGATCTAGTTCAAGATGCTCCTGATGGCAGGGTGCTTGGTTTAGATCACCTTTAAAGTTCCTTTCAATCCAAACTGTGATTCTATGATAATCCCAAAGAACACAGCAAGTAACTGAGGTCTAATTCTGCCAGATCAACACAGAGATCTCTGTTCTTTGATGTAACTTCTGTAAAGTCACTGAGGTTCATTTACGCTGTTGTCTTACAGAAAACTCTCAGAGCTTCAACATGAAACATTAGAAAGGGCTTTAAAACACAACGAAAGCAAATTTAAGTTTGGAGAAAATATATCTGCCTACAAAGTTTTATTTGCCAAGATCTTCTTCCTCAATAAACACTGACATTGTTCCTTTCTAGTCAGGATACAACTCCCAGTCATAGAACCATGTTTGTCTCAAACATTTGTAAAAAGGGACAATATGTGTAGTAAGTATGAAAAAATTGTCCTTTCATTTTCATCTTACACGTGCTTAAAGAAACCACTAACATCATATTTATTTATAGGTCAATTATTCAAGAGGATGGGGAAAACTTCATAGAAATAACTTGAAATACAGAACAGAGTAAGGAAAATAAAAGAGCAAGCTTTGTATAAACGAAGAAAAACCCCAGAACAGAATAATGTTCCAAACAGATTGTTCACTTCCTTATCTTTATTTCTGTGAATAGCTTTAACTGTAGAGTATGAGAAATGAAGATTAAAACACACAGACAATTAAAACCCAACAGTGGCCAATAACTAAGGTCTTGGTGATTTTTGTATTTGATAAAACATCAATCCACTAAGTGCAAGTAGTAGAATTATTTGAGAAATCCTAAACCTCTTCAAGAGTTTCTAAAATAACTCTGATACTCAAGAATAATCTCCTTAAAGGAATCTACCTGATGCAAAAGCTGGCTTGAAACACTTACGTGTCACCCTGATTTTTTAAGATTTTCTAAGCCTTCTGATGTTTGCATTCTTGTAGCAAACTTTCTCATACACTTTCTGTAAACAACTTATTGTTTTGCATTCTTTTATGGAAGAGGAGAAATTTGATGGACTGTTAGTTTGTCCAGTGTCATTGGAGAGGTGGCACTTTCACCCTCCAATCCACTGTCACCTTTAGAAATCTAGAAATGTTTGAGTCAGAAAATAAACTTCCCTTTTTCCTGCCTTGAGAGCAGCAGCGTGTCTACGTCGTGTTGTCTCGTGCCCTATAGTGACACTTACTAGAACTTGTTATTTATTATTGCCTAAAAACAAAAAATCATAGATTCATAGAATCAGTCAGGTTGGAAAATACTTCTAAAATCATCAAGTCCAACCAGTAACCCAGCACCACTAAACCATATCCCCAGGTGCCACATCCACACGCCTTTTGAACAGCTCCAGGGATGGTACTCCCACCACTTCCTTGGGCAGCCAATGTCTGAATACCCTTTCAACTGAAAAATTTTTCCTAATATCTAAACCTCCTCTGGTACAACTTGAGGCCATTTCCCTATAATGAAAACAAACCACAGGCTCAAACTACAGCAAATTTCAGGAACATTAATAGATACTGCAGGCAGCACAAAGCTGCTTCAGCAGTTCAAACATAAATTCCTCAGATAAAGATCTCAATTCAGGCCACCTTTCCCACTTGCTGTAATTAGATGACACAATTAAACAGAGAGGAAAGATGTAGAGAAGTTACAAAACAATGAAGTAAAACCCAAAAGGTTCATAAAAACCTTGAAATTAGGATTCTGGCAGAGGTGGGAATACTGGTATAGATTCTCTAAAACACAGGACTGAGAGGTATCAACTAAGAGCAATCATCAACACATAAACATTGAGCTGAATTAGAGAAAGGAGTTAGGCTGGAAAAGCAGCTCAGTAAGACAGACCTGTCTCTTGAGTAACTCCAGAGGGCTGCTGACCTGAACCTGGCTTTCTCAGCTTAAAATATGGAACAACTAAGAAGGCTTTGTTTCAAAAGAGCTCTCTGGCCACATTACACCAGGGCAGAGGAAGCACTCCCCCCTGAAAACAGCCTTGCTTGCACTACTGGCTTGAGAGGAGCAGGTGATGGGCACCAACCAAGGTGCACACACACGGGCTGACGCTCAAGGCTCACACCACAATTAGTCAGTCACAGGTCACATCACTGCCATTCGTGCCCCAGAGCTGTCAGCAGGGCAACGCCTAAGAATCTTACACCTTTTCACAAGGACTTCTCAAACACGCATGAGTGGAAGCTGGCATCATACAGAGTGAGTTTGTCATGGGTGTTTGGAACTTGTGTAACCTGATTTACAGGGATACCTGAATTTCTACCCATAATAACACAGGCACACCTTGAGAAATTGGGGATGGACATTGCCAGCACACTGAAGGCTGATATGTACTGGTTGTAAAAGACCATTAACTTACAGTTCAATTGTTACTGAATGTACATGTGATGATGGCTTGTTGGGTGTAAGAAAATCTTAATACACTAGGAATGCAATTTTACTGCCATTGCTTGTGTAAGGCTATAAAATATAGACATGCAAAGCTAGAAGAACTTTTATTTACAGATAAGATGATGGGCTTGGAATTTTTCCACCAAATTCTAACAAAAAACATTGAGAAAATGTGTGGATCAGTTATATAGTCAACTATTATCAGTTCTCTTATTTTAGGCACAAGAAACAAAGGGGTAAAATCCAGTGGAAATCTCAACAATTATTCAGCATCTTTCAGCCTACAAGCCAGATATATCTGCTGCATCCCTGCCTTGAACACAAAACCCAAGTTACCAATGCCTGTCCATCCCAATATTGTAATCTGATCAGATTACAGTCTAAGAAAGAAATTTTTGTCTCCATACAGTGATCTAACCTTTTCATCTGGTAGAAAGTTTTTAAACATCCTCTCTTCAACCACAGAATTCAGACTGAATGAAATAAATTCATTCATTTCCATGATGACTTTAGGCAGATTAATCTACCCGGACATTGCCTGATCTATGACTTGCCTCATTCTAACAAATTGTAACAGGAGCCACAATTGGTAAAAAATAAATAGGGTGGCTGCCCTAGAAGGGACATCAGCAAATTCACTTTCTGACTGTGTCTCAATTGCTTGTTTTTTCCACAATGCCTTTAGGTTTCACATTCACTGCCCCAGTAGCTATTTACTGAACAGCAAAGCAGAACTTTCACTGGCCACAGCTGATGTGTATTTCCATCTCCACTACAAGCTCTTCATTCCTATCAGTTGTGGCTGCAAACTCATCCTGCCCTACAGACATCAACATTTCCTCTTCCAAGCAGACTGCCTCTCTGCTGTCCAGGCAGGCTCTCCAGGCAAAAGGCACACAAAGCAGAGCAGGCAAGCAGGCAGGCACTATGCTGATCCTCACGTCTGTCATTTAAAACCAGAGCAATCCCCTGCAGCTCCAGAACTCAGGTTTCAAAGAAACAGTGGACTGTAAGGGGAAAAATCTTATTAATCTTTAAAAGGCTAGAGCAAAGACAAAGGAAGGAAACGGACTGGAACATTTCAAGTGGAAATAGGTTCTGAACCATGACCTGTTTTGATCAAAGCTGGAAGACCATTTACGGCAAGTGCATGACATGAAGCCAACCTGACAAATTTCACATTATTTCATGATATGTGAAACTCTGTACAGTGATCAAAGCTGGAAGACCATTTATGGCAAGTGCATGACATGAAGCCAACCATCACTGATAAATTTCACATTATTTCATGATATGTGAAACTCTGTACAGTGAAATCATATGAACTGAAGAAAACGGGAACAAAACCGGCCAACCTCCTCCACCTACCTACTCTTCCACTCCTACACACATTTATTTTTTACAGATACATGACTTTATTTGCTACAGCTTTTACAGAAATTTCTACTTAGAAAATACCAACCTGAGCTCCTGCAACTTTGTCACACTTTCAGGAAATACTCCAAATGGTCAGTAATATGTTTCAATACGAGCTCTCCTCAAGTCCTTAATTTTTAAGTGGTTTAATTTGTAACATTTATAGCTTCAACAAAGCCAGAAATCTGAGCTTCCACACTGATCTTAAAAATGCTTCCTAATTTGCTTGCATACCACAGAGTTTTGATTCTTGTCACTGTGATTTTAAGTGTTTCTACATAACTCCAAAACACTAGTGTTTCACATCAGAGACTTCTGGAATAGAAACCAATTCTAAAACCAAAGCAATTTTAAAATATTTACAAGTAATATGTAGTTGCATATAAACATACAATTATGTGTTCAAAATACTTATATATTACAGAATTAAAAAATCACATTTCATAAAAAAAGTAAACTTAACTGAGAAAGAACTTAGTCTTTTATCTATATACATGCCAGTAAGTAAAGAAAAACACCACTTTAACTCTCTGTACTATTTTTAGATATCAAGTTGATTCTTTGTATAGACTATTGACTAAATAGCATATACATCAAGGAATATAAATTTTTAAAAATCCATACAAAATCCAACTTCAAATCGTCAACCTAAGAGCAAATATTTAGCAATACTAAGTTCAACATATCTATTCTGAATATACTCAATATATATAACTACATGTAACATTTATGATATTACATGAAATACCAGCCATTTGTCTTAAATGAGGAGGAAAATAAAAAATCAGGACATCTGTCTTCTAAACAATTTACTTTCTTTCCAAATTCCAAAACTTCTAAGTCAATGATCAGGTATTTACAGAACAAGTTCATACTGAACTTTTATTCCCCTCTTCAGAAAAAAGACTACAATATGAACCATAACTCAGAAGGATTTCTGAGGCTCCTTTAGTGACAGATATGCCACAAACAAAAATCTAACTATAAAGTCATGATAGAATCCTTCCTAAGCTGCAAGTCACAAGCTAAGGTCAAAATCTTCAAAAAAAAGTTGACATGTGAACAAGGAACCACTCAAGACACAAAGCTCAGCACATGCAGATATTCACTGATTACTGAGATTTAAAAAAAGTAGAAAATGGAATAATTAATTATTATTTCAAATATTATTATATTTTCTCATCAGTTCTCAATTCACAGCTGTTTTAGACAGATATACCTGTATTACACAGATGTAGTACTCTCAAAATTAAATACTCTCACAGACATGATTCTACTAGCCCTCAAACATCTAATTAATTCCCAGTAAAGTCAGTACTGAATTTGAAAAATTTTATGAAGAAGGGGTATGGAAAAGCAAGTACTGGTGGACATTAAACAAGTGCATCCTGCATGTGACACTTTCTTTTCACCACTATTAAAGTCCACATCATTTTGGCATAACTCCAAGTTATAAGGATGCTTTGCTGGTACACAAAGAAGAACATAAAAGCAACACCAAATCCAAGGGGTATGTGCAGAAACCTATTTTACTCTTTATTTTTTTAAAAATGCTTACACCTCCTTTCTGCAATGTATTTTCCTGATCTTCTTTCTGTTCAGGAAGGCAACCAAAGGCTGCATGTGTTGTAACTCACCACAATACTCTCTTGAGAGTCAAACTTCTTTTTCTTTGGTTTCTTTGTGTCTACTAGGGCAGCATGGTGTCTGAAGATTTCCTCAAAGCGGACTTTGGTTTTTGCCTTCGCCTCACTTTCAACTGCAAAAAGAAATCGAGAGTATGATTTGCTATCTTATTAATCACCACTGCTAAAAAAATGAATAAAATTGCTCTAAAATTGTAAAGGATGAGAAGTATTTATCAGGGAATGTTTACCAAGAAATTCACTTTGTATTCAGTTAAGAATTTCCACTGGCAACATAACCTATATAAGGATAACTCAGCGCAGACACACACACACCATTCTCACTTTTGCTGAAGTCAGCACCATCTACCCTGTCTCCTGAAGAAAGCACATTTTAAAGAGCACGCACATCAGCACCAACTCAAGACTTCGGCTAGCCAAAGCAGAGAACAGATTACTGCCCTCCCTGTTTATAAGCAGAGGTGACACGCTGTCTTCCAGGAGAAGCAGCAGCTCTGGGTCCTTCTGCAATCCAGCTCTGCAAACCAAGGCAGCACCATCATGAGACAGACCTGTAGGAGCCAGGAGCTGGCACTCTTGCCTTTCTGTGAATCATGATACTGCCATCAGCAGCATCTCAACCCTTGAAGCAGTAGGTGTTCCAGTTCCCCTCAGGTAATGCTTAATTTGTAATTAAGAATTCAAAATGCAACCTGGAACACCACTGAAAAAGGCTGTTCAATCTTCAGCTACAGCGTATTTACCACTGTCATTACAACTTTTTGCAAGAGCCCCTAAATTTAAAATTAAAAAATAACACTACTTTGAAAATCAGCTATAATCATGAACTCAAAAAGGTGACAACGGAGCATAAAGGATTTATATAGGACAGAAATAACTTCTATCATTTGCACCTAGTACTAACTATAAAATATGTATAGGAAATCACACACAAAGTATCCTTACCTGCTCGCATTTTCAGTCCTCAGTTAGAAGTGGCTCAACACAACAGCTGCTTCTTCCTCAGAATTCACCATTCTATTTAAAGTATTTAATAACTGTCATTAGCATAAGTGGTCCACAGACTTCAAGTTAGTAACTAAATCTATGGTAATTAGTACTAGGGATGACTACATTTCATTTTGAAATAAGTATTTCCCCATTTGTCTAAATTATTAGAAATTTTCTGCTATCAAATCCCATCTCTGATACTTATTATTTGAGGGCAAATAAAAAACAACATTACAGGAATTTAATTAGCTATTTGGCTATTTCTGGTTGGCAGCCAAATCATTCAGGACTGCAGTCCCCCCGCCTTCTAAAAAATCCAACAGTTTATTTAAATAATAATGACCCATGAGACCATTTATGTTGAAGCCATTCTAATCAGATTCCTCTCCTGACAGCATCATTGAGGAAGCTGGGTAATAGTTTTCAATACAAAGGTTAGCATCTGCCAGCAAATCCAACTTTATTACAAATCTCTAAATATTTATGTTTATATAAAGCATTTGTAACTTTATAAAGCAGACAAGCAACGACATGAAACTCATTTCTCTAAGAAAAAAAAAAATTGTTAGGCCCTCCTGGTTGTGGAAAAAAGCCTGCAAATGCAATCCAAACCAAGCTTGAAGGCAAATAAAAATATCACACGGGTTTATCTTTTCATCAAGAAAATTCAGACTGCTCTACAAAAAACTTTAGTACAAAGAGCTGTTTTGTAAACAGCAGAACTAATGAAACGTAGGTTCCTATGAAGGTGTGATGCTCCCCTTAGCCTTCCATGTCCCTCACAGCCCACCAGGTAACAGCTCCCAGTTGTCCCTAGGTAACACCTCCTGTTAGACACCAGTACCTCAACACTCACTGCACACCCAGACCACACTGATCCTCACAAATTAAGACGCAGCATTAAACACTGCCAGGATGTGTGGTTGCATTATTCTCTGCTTGGTCCAAGCCACTAACACTCACCCAAACTATGCCTGAAATGACACTGATGAGGTTGCAATATTTTCACTATCTAAAACATGTTCTGACTCCTACAGCAAAAGTCTGTGTCACAACTAAACCAGTAACTGCTAAAAATAACACTTCTTACAAGAAATTAAAAGAGAAAATACCATTGAAAAATAAAACTGCTTTTGCAATTTAGACTTGGTTAAACCTAATGGTCATTTTAAAAGTACTACAGTTACTAAGTGCTGCTTCCCAAGCAGTCAATTCACAATTTGCTAGAAAGCCCATAATTTAGAACAGTAGAAAACTAAGTAAATTCAAAAAAATACAGTAGATACTATCACTTTGATCACTGACTGACGACCACAGAAACACGGAAAAGTATCTCATAATTAGCTGAATGATTTCAACAAGCCCTCAAAACTAATTAGAAACAAGAAATTAAATACTGAAGGGCTCTTAAAACTAAAGCAAAAATATGAAAGACAATACAGTACTCAAAAACGAAATTAAATAAGTGCATACCTATTCTAAGTACAGAAATAGTAAAGAAAGTTTCTGGTCAAAATCAGTCCACCAAAAAACCCAACCAACCTACAGGTTGGTTAAAATACTAGTTTTACAGATAGTTTTTGATTATAATGGAACAAACATCTTACCAAAGGCTACAGTCACCTCACGGTTACAAACCCTCTCTGTAAAGTGAAGAATTAGCAAAATTCACCAATGAGTGCATCACTGTTTATTTATTCAGTGTCTACCCTTTGTGGCAATAAAACTAAGAGATACAGTCCCCTGATGACAGTGCTATTGTTTAATAGGCATTTCCAATTTAGAGCTTCATTGTCTTTGACATGCTGCATTAAAGCAACTATCAGGCTTGTGTAAATATAGATCATTAATCAACAGGGATAAGAACAAGGCTGTTTACTTAGTGTAATCTCACCTTAGAATAGGAGAGATTTAATTGTGTATCAAAGTTCAGCAACCACCATGCCCCAGTCTGAGCAAGCTCAGTTATCATCAGTTTTGTAAAATGCATTTTTGCCTGAACAGATTGGATCTCTTCCATGTTAGTAAATATAAGACAATCCAAGACTAACAAAAACATATACCTGGAAAGTGACATAGTCCAGCCAGCAGCAATAAACAGCAAAACAAATTCATAAAGCCTAAACTTCCAATTACTATACTTTTCTGAAAATAACCTAGTTTGCTCTTCTCCAATCTTCTATTTGTAAAGTGATTCTACATTAAATTCTTGCTCTCTTCACAGTATTTCACAACATTCATGGAGTTGCTATATTCTACATCTGTAATACAGGGATTCTGTGCTAAACATGCCACAAGGGTCACCATACACCCACTTTTACTGATCTCTAATAAATTATATAAATCAAACCCATACTACAATGAGCAGAGCATACAGAATTTGCAGTATGCAATGGGAAGTGGAAAATTTCCTACCTAATTATAACCATTTAGGAAATTGAGCCGACAAAAAATAATTGCACACTAAGGATTTTCCTGAACTAAATTCCAAGTTTTTGTTTCGTCTCAGTGAGTGAGCATAAACTCCAGTGGCTGAAAACCAGAATATCGGGCCTTGTTTATTTCTCATCTTTTGGATCATAGAGGGAAATCTTGGGTTTTACTAGTAGGCATCTAATTAAGCTACATGTAGGGATCATTACTCTGAGACGTGAAAGAGCTTCAGCTCAGAATAATACAGCAAAATTACAGAGATGAATCTGTTCCTCTTCATTATTGAAAAATCTGACATCAAAAACCAATCCAGTTTTATTAATGAAAATTCAGTATTTCAGTCCAGAAAATTGACAGATGAAATAAACACCTATGCAAAACCCAGTAAGAGTGCACTAGTTTTCTACTAGCTCAGATGTGCCTGTAAAAACCTTATGCTCATATGAATAAAAGAAGATGTTTTAAAAGGTTGGTGTTGCCCTCAGTTTTCAAGTAGTAACAGAAAGTTTTTGCTTCATAGGAACTATCAGGTTGGGTGGGTTTTTTAAACCAGAAAAGTGGTACCTTTAGTCAAGAGAAAGTTGTGAACAGACTCTGATGGCAAAATTACTGACTTCAGTTCCACGTAAGGAAATACAGGAGACTTTTATTGTTTATTAAGCTTTAAGTTTCTGCTTTATCTTAGATGCTAATAATGAGAAAGTGTTCTCGGCAAGAGACCACCCTAAGTATTTTAATTTCCAATGTGACATTCTGCTGTGCCTGGAGGAATGGTGGTAGATTTAAAAGATATAAAGGGACATTCCCACCACACACCACAACGGGGCTAAGCGAGAGAATTACTCAAGGAGGATGCGATGCGCATCCAGATGGGCATCCCCGCTTTGGAGCCAAGGTGCCGGGCATGGAGAAGCGCTGTACGTCCACTGCAACTGCCCACGCATGTCACCCCGGCGAACTACACAGCTCGTGAAAAGGGGAGCAGGGAGGGCCAAACCACTCCGATCTGGGGATCAGCGCTTCCCGCGGCACTGCCCCGGCCGGCACCGGACAGCGACAGCGCGCAGCTCGCCCGGCCCCGCCGCTCCCGTGGCGGCCGCGACGTGGCCCGGCGGCTGGTGCGGCCGCCCCGCCTCCCCCCTTCCCTCCGCCAGTGGGCTCTTCCTTGGCCCCGCTCCCCCCTCCGCAGCGCCGCGCCGGTGGTTCCGCCCAAAACAATCCCGGCTCCCAAGGAAACGGCGCGAGCAGGGAAAGGGGAAAACCACAAAACAAAAGGAAAACAAACAAACAAAAAGCGGTGAAAAGCATTAGGAACGGGAGCCCTCCCACGGGTCCACTGTAAAAGAAAAGTGTCGAAAGTACACATTAGCTCTCAAAATTCAGGCTAACAAAAGTTGCTTGCAGAAGAATTGGAAGTCCCTGGGTAGTGGGTTCTGCGGGGCTCGGCAGGGCAGGTGACAGGTGCTTGGAATGTACACAAGCTTCCTGCAAATAGCCAGCTATGGAAATACTGGAGAAGCTTTTATTTGTCGCCCAGTTTGGTATTTTATTTAAGCAGTGTTTTGGAGGATTTTTTTTCCTCTCTTAGGGATAATTACCTAATAAGCTTAAGCATATTTGTCATTGAAAACTTGTAAATTCATTTCTTCTGTGTACAATTTGATTAAAATTGTAGATGTCAAAGGTCTCATACGCTAGAAGGTTTGAGAAATCAGTGCAAGGTTTTTGGTGAACGTGGTTAGGGTTTTTTTCAGAAGCTGAGTAAAATGAGCCTTCAGTTGGCAGCAATTTGCAGAAACTAGAGGTGAGCAAATGCTTGAGTTCCTGAGCTTGTGACATAGTTCCCAAGCATTGCATCCCTCCGATTCAGTCAGTGGCTTCCAGAAGAATGCACCTTCTGAAGCCTGGCGTCCCTGTTCCTCGTGTGTTGTTAGTGACAGACGCTATCATCTCTTCTTGTGCCTACCTGTCCTCTGCTGTCTCAAATGCTTGCATGCCCCCAGCTGACAGGTGGGGATATGTCTGGTTTCCTTACGCAGGTGTCCTGGGTTGCCTTGGCATAACACAAACAAAAAACAACTCCTCAGCATTCATGTGCCTCCCTGTATCCTCAGTGTATCTCTATTCTTTTATCTCTCTGTCCTTCGTAGGACAGACTCCACCCCAGACTCCATGAAATAATGGCCTTGAACAACGTGGTCTCACTTTCAGGCTGGCCTTGCATTGAACAAGAGATTGGACCAGAAATCCAGCTATTCCTTCCTAACCAACTTTCTGGCAGCTGAGAGGCTCAGCTATGGCAAACTCCAAACCAGTCATTTTTAGTCATTGACATGGAAAGAAGATTTGATATTGTCTAATTTGACCAGCAGTAATGGGTTATAAAGCCTTCTAAATAAGCCTGGCACAAGACATCAGCAGGTTTTCTGTTACTACCAAAAGCTTGCGTAAAGTTTCCAGGAACACTGGTTTCGAAATAATGTCTTAAAGATTTCTGTGACCATTACACCTTTGACAAACGTGAGGTATTTGTGCCATCTGAGATCTAGCAAGTAGTGGTCAGGGCCATTTTCCGTGTCGGGGGAGAATAAATCTGACCTCTTTAGCTGACTTGTTTAGTTGAGTTTTTGGCGGGTAGAGACAGATGACAATACTGCAGTTCTTACTCATAAGTAATAGATAAATCTATGTTAAATTTGTTTCTTTCATCCTGGACTAGTTAAAAATCACTATTCTGGAGTTAATACTGTTCCAGATAGAAAGCTGCTGTAAGCCAAGGATTGTCATGCTGATGTAAAGAAGACTTTTTCACCTCGTGTTACTTCTTACGAGGTCCTGTGTCTTACAGTTCTTCTGATGTACTTTGCACAGTGCAAAACATGACCTGCTGATATTAAGCAGTTCCTGAGGCTGCCAATCACACTTTCATTGCAGCTAAAGATGTTGCAATGTGTGTTCCTGTGTCAGTGTCACGAATATTTTTTTTTCCATTTCCTGGCAGTGAAATTTAAAAAAAAAAATATTTGGACTTTGCTCATTATTGCAAAAGCAATACAAGTCAGGAGCAGCACCTAAAGAATGCAGGGCAACCTGTACAGCAATAAAATGAGTTTTGTCTGTACTTTGATGGCCTGTGGAACAGACCAAAGAAAAGAAAGCAGACTCCAAACACAACACATCTTGTTCGTAAGCAAGTGTGCAATTTCTGTTCTGCTAGAAGCAGAAAACCAAGACATTTGAAAAATGTGGAACACGTATGCAAGGAGCTTTTCAATGGCTTCAAAAGCATATGCTCCCTGTGTTCACCTGATATTTCAGTTGCAGGGGCTTGTACAGAGAAAGCTTTCCATTATCTTACATTTGGGATGTGTGGGAAGTAGGAAGGGACACAAGCTGAGGTGGCATACTGTGGGTTACAGGTGAGCAGTTTGGAGATACCAGATGCATTCTGAAAATCTCACAGGAATTACAGGATGATGAAGAATGGATCAAGATTCTTCTCAGAGCCTAGCTTTCAACAGAAGGTAAAATCTGTCACATGCAGGGACAGCCTCGAGGTGTCGCTCAAGTGCACAAAATAGAAACAAGATCTGGAGTTTGATAACTTAGAGAGTGCTAAAAATGCAGTGATATTTTGGCAGAAGTTAATTGTTTAACTGATCAGTGGGTTATTTTCTCTTGATAGCAAAATATAATCGGGTTTCTGGTATTAGGCATTCTGAGCAAACAATCTGATTGTTTGATGTAAGTTGGAGCTTGAGTTGAGGCAACTGAACGAAAAATTTTACAAATATTATATTGATAAGAAAAAGAAGGGTCAAAAAGTTAAAGTCGATAATCAATTTCTTTAATGATTAGAGAACAATTGTGCAAGATTTTCTGCATCCTGAGATGATTGCATCTTGCATGCTAAATTTCCAGTGCTTTGAATGCAAGTCATCAGGACTAACTATGCTAGAAAGCTGATGTGCCCCAAATATATAGAAATTGGCAGTAGAAATGCCTGTATGTGTTTATTTGGAAGTCTAAATTTCTGTGTCTGCTTCTCAGAGATCTGAAAGTCTTTGAACTGGAAAGATTTCCCTGTTGGTTCAGTCCTTAACTTGTCTTCTAGTCCTGAAGTGGGTGCCTTAGTTCATGGGGGCAAGCAAGCAGTCCTTTCCCAGAAGAGAGTTTAAGAATGTTCTTTATCCTCATTGACTTTGTTGAGCCACATTTACCTTCTCAAAGTCATCTCCAGAGTAGGTACAAGACCAATTATGACCACAGATTTTATTTTTGTTGTGTATTATCAACTTCTTGTGGGTGACAGTTCTCCCAAAGCTAAAATTCTGTAATACAGAAAAGTTTTTTTCACAGTTTACTAGAGTTTTACTTGTAGGCCAAAAGCAAAAAAAATCTTGCATTAAAATTTAGCAAAACATCTAAAGAAACCTAGTTTCTTCTTTCTTTTTGAATATGTTTTCAGTTTAGGGCTTTAAAACGTTTTGAGAAAATCAAGTCTTATTAATGCAGAGACTTGAAGCAAGGTTGGAATTATAAAGTGGCACAGTCCTATGGATCTGGTATTAATAAGGAATGCAAGACTCTAAATTTTTAATAAGTAATTTTATGTATTTTTAAAAAGTTTGTTTTATTTTTAATTGGCTGAAGTTATTGGGAGAGCCACATGAACAGCCCATCGTATTTCAATATGTTTAACGTACTAGAATGTCTGTTTACTTTGCAACACGAGGAAAAGAAGGTAAATACATTTTATTTCACTGCCAGAAAACTAGGCTTCAGAAGGGACAAGTTCAAATTGTGTGTCCAGACAATGATGTCATGAATGCTCTGAAGACATGTTTTATTGTGTTTTCAGTATTAGTGTTTCCTGAGCAACATCCCCTGAGGTATAGCTAAATCTCTGCTGATGTTTTACTGTCCTCAGAACAAGAATGCTAAGGCTTTTTGAAAGATTATAATTTGGAAAACCCTTGTGTTCTCAGGAAACTTAATGTACTTTGCCACGGGATGGCAGTGTAACAGCACATGTCGTTAAGTCTAATTTTTGTGAAGTGTTCTGGAAGCTTTGGATAATGGAGCTGGAATTTGTCTGTAACTAAGAGCAGCATTGTTGCCTTTTAACTTTTCAAAATACAGTTGTTCCCCTTGTACTGTTAGTGCTTTTTAAACTATTTTTTATTAAACTATTTTTCCTTGCTGTTTATTAGCTAAACAATAATCTTTAATAAAGAGCAACAGAGCTCCTTAATATCCCTATTGTATCCTGTGGTTAACAATATTTATTTATAGACTAAGTCCCACAACAGGTTTTTTTTTGACAAAAGTATTTATTCCTTGAAATGTACTTGTTTTGTTTCAGAATGTAATTATTGATGTAGTTCACCAGATTTCTTTCTTCTAAAGGCTTGGTTTTTAATCAAGTCCATTTGGAGACTTTAGTTTGTAGTCCTTTGACATGTTTTTATAACTCTTTTTTTCAAGATGTTCAAGCCTATCTTTTTAAACATTATTATTTATCTCTCTGGGATATTTTATTCTTCAGTATTCTATTAAGGTTCTTTTCATTCCCTGCTTCCACTGACGTATTGAGTGAGAATCTCTATTGTCAGCAAACAAGTGGCCAGTTTTTAACTTGGGAAATACTTTAATAGTTCTGTTGCAAATATGGTGTTCACAAATCTTGTTCACAGTCTAGCATTAAAAATCAGCCCAGTGGTGTCCTGGTGCCCAACTCCCACCAGCACACTTGGCCTTGCTGAGCTATATGCAAGGGATGCCCTTCCCACCCCATTTGCCAGACCCACCTTTTTAATATTCCACCTGTGAAACAAAGCCAAGGGTTCTTCTTTGTATGTGCATCCATAGAATATGAAAAAAAAGAACAAAACCTGTTCCTGTCTCTGAGTTTCACTATAAAGCTTCCAGAGCTTGCTGTACTTTCTTCCCCTTGTCATGTCATTTAGTGACAAAATTGATGTTATGAAAATAAATATAATAGTCACTCTAATATTAGTGTAAATCATCAGCATTGTTAAGAAGTGCTTTTCTCTAGCATAGAC